TTGGTTTTTTTCTACTTATTCAGCATGAAATGCGGTCTTTGTCGTAGCCGTTTTTTTTTGGTCTTTTATTATTTTTTCATTACCAAAAAACAATCGATTTTTTATGCGAAAATTCGCATCTTCGAATTCAGATAAACGCCATTTTTTAAATATTGCGAACTTTTTAAATCGGTTATGACAAAGACTAGATATATCCATCTATTTTAAGACTCATTTAATTTTTTTTATTTCAGATGAACCTTGTAGATAGCACAATAGTTACCGCAAACCGTAACACGTGCGAACACTTGTGACGCTAGCAATAATATCTGCTATATTTTTTAATATTTTTAATAAATTTAACACTGTATATTATATTAAGAAAAATATATGATAAAACTCTTTTTTTGATAATCCTAATAATTTCCACGAAAAAATTTATGAAAATAGAATCATTTTTGGTACGTTCTGGGTATATGTTCCCCCTTAAAGAATTTCAGGATTTAAATACCATTTTATATATATATATATATATATATATATATATATATGTATATATATATACAGGGTGGGGCATTTATCTTGAGACAAGACAATATCTCGATTGGAGTCGATTATTTTGAAAAAAGTTTTAGACAAAAGTTGTAGGGCATTAAAGAGGCTATCGAAAGGTCCATATTACAACTTCCGGTCTAGACCGGAAGTGGCGTTTTTTGATCAGAATTCGTTTTTTTAAATGGAAACACCCATTTTTTGCCGCGGATTTCGATTGGAAATCGAAAAAAAAATACTTTTTGTTCTTATTATTTTTTCGATTTAACCCATATTTTGGCCATAAAAAACAAAAAAACACAAAAATCTTGAGATAACGGAGTACTTTGTTGGGGTTGTGTCCAGGAGGCCAAAACACTTTGGATAGCATATATCACATGTAAAGTACAGACTACTTTTTCATGGGGTGGTGATTTTTAATCTAAACTTAATAAACTAGAAAAAGATTTAACGGATTACTTTGAAAAGGAATAATTGACATTTTTTTGTATTTTCGTTTTCTTTTTTCGTGAGTTTTTAAATTTAATATAGGGGATATTTAGCCCATTTCATTTATCCTAATTTTTTTTCTGAAATCAGATTATCTTTTCAAATTTTGTCAGTGCAAAACTTTTTTTAAAATGGAGGCTGTTTCTGTAGAAGAGAAGATAGAAATGATTCTTATTTATGGTGAATGTGGTAGAAATGTTGACGATGCCGTTACACTTTATGCTGAACGTTTTCCAGATAACGTGCGATCTCGAGCATCTTTTTATCGGGTTGTTACACAATTTCTATAAGAGGGAAGTGTGTCTAAGAGAAAAAGAGCTCGTCGAAACCTAGTTACTGGAACTGACAATGAAATTGCTGTATTAGCTGCAGTAAATGTTGACCCTCATGTCAGTACTCGACAAATTGCACGCGATTCTGGAATTTCGCGACGTAGTGTAGGCAGGATATTAAAACGTTATAAATATCATCCCTATCACATTTCGTTGCACCAAGAACTTCATGATAATGATTTTCAGAACCGAGTTATCTTTTGTCAATGGGCATGTCAACAAATACAACAAGATCCTAATTTCTTTGCTAAAGTCCTATTTTCAGACGAGTCCTCTTTTACGAACCACGGCACGGTTAATAGACATAACATGCACTACTGAAGTATTCAAAATCCACATTGGTTACGTTGAGCATCAGCGTCAATGGTCTGTGAACGTTTGGTGTGGAATAGTTGGTGACAAGATAGTAAGTCCATACTTCATTGAAGGCAATTTAAACGGCGAAACATATCGTAATTTTTTACAAAATCAACTTCCGCTTTTACTTGAGGACGTACCCTTAAATGTAAGACAACAAATGTGGTTTTAACACGATGGATGTCCATCGCATTACTCCCGAACTGCTCGTAAAGTTTTGGATCGCGAATTCAATGGACGCTGGATCGGTAGAGGGGGTCCAGTAAATTGGCCAGCAAGATCTCCAGACCTTACGTCTCCAGACTTTTATTTACGGGATGGGGGGGGACTTTTATTTATGGGGTTACATAAAGAGCGAAGTTTACAAAGAAGTGCCAACATCTCTGAAAATATGATGCAACGAATCCGAAATGCTTGTGCCAAAATATCACCTGATGTACTCCGCAGTTGTGTACGATCTATGGAAGTTCGGATCAATAAGTGCATTGAAGTCGAAGGTCGCCAATTTGAGCACTTATTAAATTAAATTAATTTCAAACAGATAAGACAATCATACCAAATTGTGAGAGGCAAGGGGACTCACCTAAAACAAGCACCCCAAAGGGGATAAAAAACTACTACGTCCACGTCGTTATTCCTGGGTAGTGCTAAAAGTAGTTAATAGTTGTACAGTTTTTCAACCTTAAAGTTAAAAAAGGGATTCCAATAAGGTACTCCGTTATCTCAAGATTTTTGTGTTTTTTTGTTTTTTATGGCCAAAATATGGTTTAAATCGAAAAAATAATAAGAACAAAAAGTATTTTTTTTTCGATTTCCAATCGAAATCCGCGGCAAAAAATGGGTGTTTCCATTTAAAAAAACGAATTCTGATCAAAAAACGCCACTTCCGGTCTAGACCGGAAGTTGTAATATGGACCTTTCGATAGCCTCTTTAATGCCCTACAACTTTTGTCTAAAACTTTTTTCAAAATAATCGACTCCAATCGAGATATTATCTTGTCTCAAGATAAATGCCCCACCCTGTATATATACAGGGTGGACCAATAACTATGTTCACCTATAATATTTCTGTTATTTTTAGAGATACAAAAATTTTGTACTTATAAAAGTTGTACGGTACCAAAATGGCCGTAATATGCTACTAATAATTTTTTTATAGGTGGAGGCGTTTCAGAGATTTCAAGGTCATTTCCATTTTTTTAAATGGGACTTCCCATTTTTTATTACTTATTCTTATAACTTATCTCGAGAGCTTACCAAAACACTATAATAAAGTATTTCTTCATTGAGTATTTTTCGAGTTATGAGGCTTGAAATCATTTTTTAATTTTACATAAACCATAAAATATCTAGTAAAATATTCATTTTTCGATTATCTTTAATGTTTTTATGTACTTTTAACTTTAATGCTTTTATATAAAAAATAATGAGAGGAATCAATTGGTATAAAGGAAAAACATAGTTGTTTTTAAGAAAAAAATATGTAATTTGCAATTAACAATTACATTTTTTTTTAAAACAACTATGTGTTTTCTTTACACCAATTGATTCCTCTCATTATTTTGTATTTAAAAGTATTAAGGTAAGATAATCGAAAAATGAATATTTTACTAGATATTTTTTGGTTTATGTAAAATTAAAAAATGATTTCAAGCCTCATAACTCGAAAAATACTCAATGAAGAAATACTTTAAATTAAGAAATGATTTCAAGCCTCATAACTCGAAAAATATTCAATGAGGAAATACTTTATTATAGTGTTTTGGAAAGCTCTCGAGATAAGCTACATGAATATGTATATAAAAAATATAATTAAATATATAAAAAATAGGGAGTTCTATTTAAGAAATTAAAGGTGATCTTTACGTCATCTTCAAATGACTTTGCAAGGTCAAATCATTGCCACTATCTGATGGCCCTCTTCAAGCCATACAACTTTTGTCTGAAACATTTGTTTCTAAAGTACATAGTTTATGAAATATTCGACCGTTCCGGGACTTTTGGGACACCCTGTATATGTATATATATATATATATATATATATATATATATAATGGAAAATATAATGGAGAAATTCATCCCTGTGAAAAGAATCTTTTAAAATATCTATTATATCATATGATACTTGGAGGTCGCGATACTCAAGGAACGATGTGAAGATTCGAGCATGTAGAATATAGACATACAAATCCGAGGTCATGAACAAGCCAGATGTAAACGCAATCGAATATCTGATACAGAAGCACTTGAAAAGATACTTGAAGCTTACGACGTGACAACATTCACTGCAGATATTTCTACATTAATAATTAATGTTTAATTCTACCATTACTAGCACATACTTCCTATTGTAGTGGTACTTAATTATATCATAATCTTTATGATATCGTATATCTTAATTATCTTGATTGACACTTAGCCGTATGGATAATCACGGCACGTAACAAATTTCGCGTTAATTGTTTCAAGGCTTAAGACAGAGACAAACAATAGCAGGAAGCGACGCTATCACATACTGGATTAGATTGCAATTAGTGTGTTAATCATTGTCAGCGTATTTTTAGCGATCTTTGTAATTTATGCAAAATCTAAAGCCTTTCAAATAATTAAAATAAAAACAAATTTTGAAAAACAGCATCAGTTATTTTTCAGATTTAATTGAGATTTAAATAATTTCACAAAATAGAATACTATTTTGTGCACATAGAGAGAAATTGTATTAATTTTGTCTTTAATCTCAATATTAAAAAATACATAATAACAAATATGTAATATAATATTAAAAAGTATATAAGGTAAATAATATATGTATGTGCATCCGCTATTAAAAATATATCTTAACAAATATATTTGTAAACAATATATACGTACATATATAGATATATATGTATACAAAAAATTTTAATTATTCCAATATTTTATTAAATATTTTTTGCAAAATTTTGACGAATATCAGAATTAAATTATTTTTAAAATAACTCTAGAATAATAAAATTTAATTTAAATTATAAAACTCTTCTCTATTTAATTTTATGATATATTTCTTATAATATTAGTTTCACACATTATTAGCATTAGTATTTGTAAAAATTATAGACATTGCCTCGAGAAATTGAATTTATTTTCGAGAATCTATATTATACAATAATATTGCGTTTAATGACAGAACAAGTATATGATAGAGATATCAACACATGCATACGCATACAACAAGCGACGGACGAGTTCGAGGTAATAAAAAATGCGTGTTTATGCGTCACTGTTCGTGGAGTATGCATGTGATCGATCGTGCTTGATCGTGCTCAATCTCTGCTTTATCGACTCTTCTTTATCTAATCGAAGGATTTCTAGCATGTCTTATAGGAAACACGGATGCGATGCACGAATAAATCGCATATTTGTTCTTCTTGTGTGGTCTCTGATAGCATGAAATGCCGTTTTCACAAAGAAGATTTAACGAGGCAACACCGCTTTTCTCAAGTAAGTTCTGCTTTAATTCTCTCAGATACACTCTTTTTGTGCATTATTTATGCATTTCGATCGATTAGACTATCACTTCCTGCCACTATTCGTTATGACTCATGCATGAATATTATGCAAAATTATTATGTATGAATAAATATAAATAGATATTCCATATTTTTATTTTTTACAAATAGGTTTGTGTGCATACTTATTTTTGTGTATATATACATATATATATATCGTTTGTTTTGTTGATATTTAATTTTATTATTATATCATTTTCCTATTTCTTATATATTTTCTTATATATTTTATATATTTCCTGTTTCTTTATATATTTGATTTTTTATTATTGTTTTTTATTTTTTTTTGTTATTTTTATTCAGATGAGGATATAGTGATCTGTGCATGTTTTATTAAAAAAAAGGAAAAAAATGCTTTTCGGATCATCAATCATATTCATATCTTTCATCTTTCTTGAATGACTATTTATTTATTTATTTCTTCAATGTTAAAATTTAAATATAAATTAAGAAAAAAATGTATGATATAAATTATATTAACATTTTTACTTATTCTATATGATATTATTGTTAAAGAAAAAAGAGTATTTGCGTGAAGCAGTCGTGGCCGAGTGGTTAAGGCGTCTGACTAGAAATCAGATTCCCTCTGGGAGCGTAGGTTCGAGTCCTACCGACTGCGAGAGATAATAATTTTTTTTTATTTTTCGAAAAATATCTGCAAATACCAAAATATATTTGTAGATTTGACATAAGAAAAGAGCTGCTAGTTTTCATAAACAATTTCTTTTTTGAGAAAACTTTTACTTGAAAGATAATATAAAGAGACTGTAAATATTACAATTTAAAATATAAATTTATAAAAAATATATTTAAAGTTACTTTAAAAATATATATTAATAATTTAATATGTTAGGGCGAGAGCAGTTAGGTTTCATACAAGAATATATATACATTTAGAAAAATGATTTTTGTCGGATATTATATCTCATTATAATATATATAGTATAATATAATATAGTATAGAAATATACTGTAAAAAACAATTTTTTTTTAATACAAAAAATTTGTTATTTTAATGTAAATAATTTGTATCATGTCACTTTCTTCATTATAAATTTATTGCTTATTAACAATAATTAAAATATTATTAAACAAATAATTAATGCAATAAGAAAAAGTAAATTATTATGTCAAGCAGTTAAATGACGATGCTGCTTCTTTGTTTTAAGCCACTATCAAAGTCTTGTAAATAGCGACACATATTATAATTGTTTATTTATCTTTTTATCGCACATAATAGCAGTCATATGCGCTTCACAAATATGTCAAATCATCAAAGCGTGTGGTCTGGTGATTAATCAAAATCTTTCTTCCACATATAACATCTCGACGACAATAATCAATTAATCTTGCTAATATTGTCTTTCTTTAGAGAGAGAAGAAATTTAATGAACGTACTGTATTTTTAAGTTTCCAATATAATGAATTCTTATTTTTTTATATATATTTTATATAGAAACGTTTAACTTAAAATAAATTATATATATATATATAATTTATTTTAAGTTAAACGTTTCTATATAAAATATATAATATATATATATATATATATATATATATATATATATATACAGGGTGTTGCATTTTAAAAAACGCACGATAATTCTTCAACAAAGCATTTTGAGCAAAAATGTTTCAGACAAAAGTTGTATGGTTTCAATCGAGACATAAGATGATGTTATTAATTTGACCTTGAATAGTTAATTGAAGGCCACATGAAGGTTACTTTCAATTTTTTTAAATGGAACTGCCTACTTTTTATTGCATATTCTTGCAGCTCATCTTGGGAACTTTCCAAAACACTATAATTAAATTAGTTTTCACTAAGTACTTTCCGAGTTTTGAGGCTTGAAATAATTTCTCAATTTTACATAAACCATAAAATAGCTAGTAAAATATTTATTTTTCGATTATCTTACCTTAATACTTTTATGCATAAAGTAATGAAAGGAATCAATTGGTCTAAAGAAATATACAGTTGTTTTTACACCAATTAATTCCTTTTATTATTTTGTACATAAAAATATTAAGGTGAGATTATCGAAAAATGAATATTTTACTAGGTATTTCATGGTTCATGTAAAATTAAAAAATTATTTCAAACCTCATAACTCGAAAAGTACTCAATGAAGAAATACTTTATTATAGTGTTTTGGAAAGCTCCCGAGATAAGCTACAAGAATAAGTAATAAAAAATAGGCAGTTCCGTTTAAAAAATTGAAGTTGACTATCACGTGATCTTCAAACGATTTTTCAAGGTAAAACCAATGACACTATCTTATGGCTATCTTGAAACCATAACTTTTGTTTAAAACATTTTCACCGAAATCGCCATGGTTTCGAGATATTCGAGTGTGAATGTTAAAATCGGACACCCTGTATATATACATTTTAACATTTTTTTTCTGAAACTCTGATTATAATTCATATATAGAATAATTCAAATCAATGCATATATACAGGGTGTTCTAAAAAGGTATGTCAAAAATTTAAGGAGATATTCCTCACATTTGAAGGATGAAAAAATATTATATGGACATAGGTGCGGAAATGCTTATTTCAGGAATTATGTTGAAAATACTGTTAGCTGTATTATTTACACAAGGAAAAATTTAGAATTAATTATTGTAGACGACAATCGTTTAATTAGGCTTATTTACATTTGGTTTTAATGTGACCTTGAGTATGTTACAATAAATGTTGAAAATGTTCATCATTTTCCTGAATACAAGCAGTGACACGTCGACGCATCAATTCACGGACACGTTAAAAAATGCCACCATTGCGTGATATTCAAGATCTTCGTGACCGTATCACTGCAGGTTGCGAGACAATCCGTTGTACGCTGGGCATTTTTGAACGTGTCCGTGAATCGCTACGTCGACGTATAACATTTTTTCATCCTTCAGATACGGATTATCTTCTTAAATTTTTTGGACATATCTTTTTAGAACACCCTGTATATATATATATATATATATATATATATTTATATATATATATACCCTGTATATATATATATATATATATATATATATATACACAGGGTGTTCCAAAAAGATATGTCCAAAATTTAAGAAGATATTCCTCATCTGAAGGATAAAAAAATGTTATATGGACATAAAGGTATGTATGTATGTATATATATATATATATATATATATATATATATATATATACATACATACATACCTTTTTAGAATCCTGTGTGTGTGTGTGTATATATATATATATATATACATATATATATATATTCTAATACTCATGATATTTTTAATGAAGTACATTTTTAATTTTTAAAAGATTTTAATAATATACGAAATTTAAGAATTTTATATAAAATATAATATATAATATAATTTTAAATATAATTTTTAAATATAATTTTTTAAATATAATATAATTTTATATAAAATTATATATAAATAAGAATTGTTTTAATAATATACATAATTACATAAAGCTATAACACTTGTTCTTTAATAATATTACTAAAAATGTTATATATAATTTTAATGGCCATAACTACATAACTAAATAAACAATCATAACTACATAAATAAAAAACCTTTTAACAATTAAAATTCTCTCTTATTCACTATTTCTCTCTCTCTCTCTCTCTCTCTCTCTTTCTCTCCCTCTCTCTCTCTTTTTCTCTCTTTGTGTAATGAATTTTTTTATCGATAAAAGAAAAATGATGGAAAAATTAATTGCTAAATTTTATTGAGTTTAAATGAACTAAAAAATTCGACGGCCAAATTCTTTTAGGCATTTTTTTCCCTCTCTTTCTCTTTCTTATTTAATTTTCATCAAATTAATTCCTCAAGATTTCTGAGATAAATCTCTCATACAAATCTCACGTGTTTGTGTGTGTAGTATATATTCCTGTAAATATATAATAGTGCCATTGTTGCGACATTATCATGTGATGGCTAATAATCTTGAGAATCACGAGAATCATAGAGTTATTAAATATTTTTTGGTGAGATTATAATGATAAATCGACTGTCTCTCTTCAAATAGCCTATGTAAGGAAACCTTATCTTGAAAACTGTCAGTGTATTGGCACATTAATAAAGACGTTATCGCGATGCTAATGGATTATTAAAAAAATTATTACCTTTCCTCAACTCTTAATAAGTTATTAAGAGTACGGAACGTATCAGTATTTCATAAACTCTGTACTGAATAGGAAGTCTAAATCTCATTTTTAAGAAAATTTCCCTGAAAAGGGAAAGAGAGAGAAAATTCGCGCCAATAAAATATAATTTTAAAAATATACGACTAAAAATTTCGTGATTTGCTCGCTACTAAAAGTTTCTAGCAAAAAATTATTTATGTGATGTGCTGACAAGTAAAAATTAGAGTGTATCAAGATACGCGAACTTGACACGTGTTAAGATACAAGTAACTATGACACTATGTACGTATAATACAAGTAACTATGACACTATGTACGTATAATTAACCAATTTATTAATAATTTTAATTAATTAAAGATATATTCATATTAGATAATTTTAATTAATTAAAGATATATTGAGGATAATACATTTTTTATTCTTTAGTAAAACAAATAGATATAATAAATAATATTTAATATTAATAATAAGAAATAATATTTGCACGTGTTGCAATTTTTTAATAACACGTTTACATAGTCTAGTTTTTTTATCGTAATTGTCATCAGAACATTGATTAGAACATTGAAGGGCATAATTATGATTAGTTAATAGTATTGCACAATTCGTAACATGACATAGCAGTTGTGATGATAAGCTGTTTAAACTTAGATATAATAAAATTTATCAATGTAATTGATATAAAACTGATATAGAACTTAAAAAGTATATACTTTTTATGTGTGAACTGATTAAATAAACATAAGCGATATCAATAACATAAGTGATATCGATAAGGCTTATATAAGATTATCACTTAATAAAAAGAGCAATGAATATTAAATATAATTAACATTGCAGTTCTTTCTTCTACAAAAATGTCACGAAAAATTTTATCTTTGCAGCTGCCCCTAGTTTTTGACATTTTAAAACCTTATTAAATAACTTTATAATAAATAAAATTAACCTAAAAATAAATATTGCTTTAACATTATTATTTTTTTATTATTATCTAATTGTACATTTTTAATACTATTATATATACAGAGTGTCCCAAAAGTCTCGGACCGGTCGAATATTTCATAAACTATGCACTTTAGAAAGAAATGTTTCAGACAAAAGTTGTATGGCTTAAAGGGGGCCGTCAGATAGTGGCAATGATTTGACATGGGAGAGTCATTTGAAAGTCACGTGAAAATCACCGTCAATTTCTTAAATGGAACTCCCTATTTTTTATTACATATTCGTATAGCTTATCTTGAAAGCTTTCCAAAACACTATAATAAAGTATTTCTTCATCAAGTACTTTTCGAGTTAAAAAAAAATATGTAATTGTTAATGGCAAATTACATATTTTTTTCTTAAAACAACTATGTTTTTTCTTTACACCAATTGATTCCTCTCATTATTTTGTACATAAAATTATTAAGATAAGATAATCGAAAAATGTATATTTTACAAGATATATATTACGGAATATTTTACAAGATATATATTACGATTTATGTAAAATTAAGAAATGATTTCAAGCCTCATAACTCGAAAAGTACTCAATGAAGAAATATTTTATTATAGTGTTTTGGAAACTCTCGAGATAAGCTACACGAATATTTAATAAAAAATAGGAAATTCCATTTAAGAAATTGACGGTGATCTTTACGTGACTTTCAAATGACTCTCCCATGTCAAATCATTGTCACTGTCTGATGACCCCCTTCAAGCCATACAACTTTTATCTGAAACATTTTTTTTTAAAGTGCATAGTTTATGAAATATTCGATCGGTCCGGGACTTTTGGGACATCCTGTATATATATATATATATATATATATATATATATATATATATATATACGAGTATATATATATATATATATATATATATATATATACGAGTATATATATATATATCTTTTCTGCATTTTTATATGACTTAATTGCAAAATTGATTCAAATTTTAATTTTAATTGATTTTACTATTCGTCTTTATATACATTCGTCGTAAATCATATATTATAGGGTCGAATATTATATTCCCTCGGAATTACAATCTCAAGGGGCTCTTTCTACGGAGAATACCGATTCTAGCATGGCTGCCTCTGTACAGTTGGGGCAAACTTCTGCAGGACATTTTGGCAGGGTTGACAGTGGGTTTGACCGCGATACCGCAGGGTATAGCGTATGCAACAGTGGCTGGACTTCCGGCTCAGGTGCGTACGCGATACGAGTGTTCTTGTCGCATGCAAACTTACTCAGTCGAGCTAAAACTATCATTGAATTTAATTTAGCATAAACAGTAACTTGTCGAAAAATTGATGAAATTAATAAGATATTCCTTATAAAGTGAATTAAATTGTCTTAAAGTTAATGATGATTTTAATTTGAAGATGGAGATTTGTCTGCAGCTTTTTACACAGTTAATTAAATTTCTTAAGTATTTCGAAAATCTCTATCAAGTAATTCTAATTGAATTTATGATAGTTGGAAAGGCGACTCTCTCGTTAGGTCAACTTTTACTTAATTAGGTTCAACTTTAGTATGGCCTGTACAGCAGTTTCATGGGTTGCTTCGTTTATCTGATCTTCGGTAGCACCAAGCAAGTCACAGTGGGTCCTACTGCGTTAATGGCTTTATTGGTGCAAAAGCACGTGATAAAACTGGGAGAAGATCTTGCTGTAAGCGGAATTTATTAATTTCGAGACTCTGATACTGAAATTTAATTTACTCTTTTTGTTTCTTATATAGCATACAATTATCTTTATATATTATATCTTTATAACGTCTTTATATTCCATGTTAACATAATTTATTAATATAATTTTATAATATATTTTATAATACAATTTATATAATATATTATAATTATAATATATATATATAATATATATATATATATATATAATATATTATAATTTTATAATATATTATAATATATTTTTGTTTATTTTTAGAAATTGTTTGAAAAATTTAGAATTTTTTTAGATTTAATTTTTCAATTTTTTGTATTTTTTGTTGATATAATTTTATTATCAACATATATATATATATATATATATATATATATATATATATGTATATATATATATATATATACAGTGTATACATATACAGTATATATATATACAGTGTATATATATACAGAGTATATATAGAGTGAAGAACATCTCACAGACTAGCCGTGCGAAATGCGCGCTTATTAGTCATATTGTGAAATATTATTATAAAAATTGTAAAACGGTAAAGAAATTTTCTGTTCAGTTTACTGCGCTTTACTCGCTCACGAGCGCTGGTACAATCTTTATGAGACATCTTGTATATATATACAGGGTGCCCCAAAAGTCCCGGACCGGTCGAATATTTTATAAACTATGCACTTTAGAAAGAAATGTTTCATACAAAAGTTGTATGACTTGAATGGGGCTTGAAGGGGACTTGAAGAGGGCCATCAGATAGTGGCAATGATTTGACATGGGAGAGTCATTTTAAAGTCACGTGAAGATCACCGTCAATTTCTTAAATGGAACTCACTATTTTTTATTACATATTCGTGTAGCTCATCTCGAGAGTTTTCCAAAACACTACAATAAAATATTTCTTCATTGAGTACTTTTCGAATTATGAGGCTTGAAATCATTTCTTAATTTTACATAAACCGTAAAATATCATGTAAAATATTCATTTTTCGATTATCTTACCTTAATAATTTTATGTACAAAATAATGAGAGAAATCAATTGGTGTAAAGAAAAAACATAGTTGTTTTTAAGAAAAAAATATGTAATTTGCAATTAACAATTACATATTTTTTTTAAAACAACTATGTGTTTTCTTTACACTATTTGATTCTTCTTATTATATTCTACATAAAATTGTTAAGGTAAGATAATCGAAAAATAAATATTTTACTAGATATTAAAAATAAATATTTTACTAGATATTTATGGTATATGCAAAATTAAGAAAAGATTTTAAGCCTCATAACTCGAAAAGTACTCAATAAAGAAATACTTTATTATAGTGTTTTGGAAAGCTCTCGAGATAAGCTACATGAATATGTAATAAAAAATAGGGAGTTTCATTTAAGAAATTGACGGTGATCTTCACATGACTTTCAAATGACTCTCCCATCAAATCATTGCCACTATCTGATGGCTCCCTTCAAGCCATACAACTTTTGTCTGAAACATTTCTTTCTAAAATACATAGTTTATGAAATATTCGACCGGTCCGGTACTTTTGGGACACCCTGTATATATATATATATATATATATATACATACATACATATATATATACCCTGTGTATATATACATATATATATATATATATATATATATATATATATATATATATATATATATACAGGGTGTCCCAAAAGTCTGGACACAGTCGAATATCTCACATAGAATGCATTTTAGAACAAAACGCTTTAGACAAAAGTTGTAAGGATTAAAAAGATATATTTAACTGTAACATCCATTTGACATTGAGTGACGTCGCCAAGCTTAGGGCAAGGTCAACTTGAATTTTTTAAATGGAACCCCCTACTTTTTATTGCATATTTTTGTAGCTTACCTCGAGAGCTTTCCAAAACACTATAATAAAGTATTTCTTCATTGAATACTTTTCAAGTTACGAGGCTTGAAGTAATTTTTTAATTTTACATAAACCATAAAATATCTAGTAAAAAATTCATTTTTGGATTATTTTACCTTAATACTTTTATGTACAAAATAATGAGAGGAATCAATTGGTGTAAAGAAAACATACAGTTGTTTCGAAGAAAAAATATGTAATTTACAATTAACAATTCCATATTTTTTCTTCGAAACAACTGTATGTTTTCTTTACACCAATTGATTCCTCTCATTATTTTGTACATAAAAGTATTAAGGTAAAATAATCCAAAAATGAATTTTTTACTAGATATTTTATGGTTTATGTAAAATTAAAAAATTACTTCAAGCCTCGTAATTTAAAAAGTATTCAATGAAGAAATACTTTATTATAGTGTTTTGGAAAGCTCTCGAGGTAAGCTACAAAAATATGCAATAAAAAATAGGGGGTTCCATTTAAAAAATTCAAGTTGACCTTGCCCTAAGCTTGGCGACGTCACTCAATGTCAAATGGATGTTACAGTTAAATATATCTTTTTAATCCTTACAACTTTTGTCTAAAGCGTTTTGTTCTAAAATGCATTCTATGTGAGATATTCGACTGTGTCCAGACTTTTGGGACACTCTGTATATATATATATATAGAGAGAGAGGGGGGGGGGAGGAAGAGAGTAAAACGTAGAAAATTAAACAGAAAATTCTTTACTATTTTACAATTTTCCCAATAAGAATTATTGAAATATTAATTAAATTTATATATATATTAAAGTAAAATATATATATATATATATATATATATATATATATATATATATGTATATATATTTTACTTTAACTTTTAAGTGGATAACATTATTTTTTAGGTTCTCATGTGTTTTTTAGCGGGTATTGTGATTACATTCATGGGAATACTTCGCTTGGGATTTCTCTTAGATTTTATAAGTATGCCCGTAATTTGTGGCTTCACTAATGCTGCGGCGATTATTATCGGTACTTCTCAATTAGGTACCTTGTTGGGCATAAAAGGGCGCAGCGAATCTTTCATCGATGCTATTTCACAGATCATCAATAAAATAAATAAAATTCAACTTTGGGATACTGTGTTAGGAGGGTGTTCGATGATAGTGCTGATTCTTCTAAAGGTATAATTAATTATATTTTTGGTTATCAAGGATTCGTTTTAGAGGAAATATTTTTTTAAATTAATTAACGTTTTCTTAATCAATGGCTTTTTAAATTATTAATATTTTTTTATTAACAAAATTTAAGAACTTTATTTAACGAATTGTTAATATCGGGTATATGATGCTTTATAATTTTTAATATGTAAACAATTTTTTATATGTATAAATATATATGAAATACAAATTTAAATTATATATGAATTTCAATTATAAATTTTATTCCATTAAATAAATATAAAATAAAATTTTTTGAATAGCTAATCCATTAACTACAATTTATACAGATTTTAAGGAAAAATTTTAGCTATCAGGATTAACTATTTATAAAAAATTTTATTTTATATGTATTTAATAGAATAAAATATAAATTACATATTACAAAATATTTTTATAATTTAATAAAATATGTTACTTTTGATGTAGTCTACCTATTTCAATGAGATTAAAGATATAATTAATACAATAAAATATTTGAAAATTTAGAAACTACCTGGTAAGAAGTCGGGAAGTTTTTTTGAAAAATTCATGTGGCTAATTTCGTTGGCCAGAAACGCTATAGTTGTGATAGTTGGAACTCTTATTGCCTACATATTATTCTCTTACGAAATTAAGCCTTTTCAAATTACGGGCAATATAACGGAAGGCTTGCCACCGTTTTCCTTACCTCCATTCACCGTCATAAACGGAAATCATACGTATACTTTTGTGATGTTGATCAAAGAATTTGGTAGCAGTCTCCTCTCAATACCACTAATCGGCATTTTGGAAAGTATCGCTATCGCTAAGGCATTTGGTAAGTAAACTTTATTGGTCACTCTTAAAGAGATCCAACTTTTTATTAATTTTGATATACGTGTAGTATAAAAATGTCGATGTCAGTGGATCTTTCTCTCTTCAAAAAACACTTTAATTAGTTTTAATCTTAAAATATACGGCTTTAATAAAATTATTTCAACCATCTCTTTTGTTAATATAACATTCAAACTATAATAATTAATTAATCATCTTGCTATAATTTAAAAAGTACTTATGAATTATGAATTTAAAGCTTTAATACAAGAATATAGTACATTTATACAATTTCTAATATCCATTTTATATGTAACGTTATATTTAAAATAAATTTAAGAATAGACTGTATAAAGTTATCTTGTATTATTCTTGCATTATACTCTTCAATATTATATTCAGCAAAATTTTGTGATAAGTTTAAAAATCTGTGATTAATTTTCAGCGAAGGGAAAGACTGTCGACGCTAATCAAGAAATGTTAGCGCTTGGGCTCTGTAATATATTCGGCAGTTTTGTAAGATCGTTGCCTGTAACCGGAAGTTTTACTCGTACCACTGTCAACAACGCATCCGGTGTCAAAACGCCGATGGGCGGTGTAATTACGGGCAGTTTGGTGCTTTTGGCATGTGGCCTCTTGACATCCACTTTCAAATTTATTCCCAAAGCTACTCTAGCTGCGGTCATTATAATCGCCATGTTTTCTATGTTCGAGATACACATTTTTATCATTCTTTGGAGAACAAAAAGTAAGTCTTCGTACTGATTATTTATAAATAAATATTTTCCCGAATTATACGGCCAATATTTATATATTTCGATTTTTCTCGTTCGAGATATTTTTCAATATTTTATTTTATAATTTGACGAGCAATAATAAATATTGGTTTATAATAATTGGCTTTTTAGTTTGTAACAATAGCTTGATGTGCGAAAATAGAATTTTTTGAGATCATATTTAAATGAGCATACAAACCTGTATTTTTTTTATTTCGGACAAAAAATGATCATAAAAGCTTTTTTTTTAAATAGAATTTTTTAAAATACAATTTTATGCGCAACTCAATTTATTTTATTATTAATCTTTTCAAGATTAATTTTTTAAAGAAAAATTTTTATTCGAAATAATAGTTTTATTGTACTAAAAATATGTTTTTTATAGAATCTCAAAATAATTAATAATACAGAGCTCGAATTATTGCATTTTAAAATTCCATTCTTTTGACTAGAAATAATCACAAACTATCCATTACTCAAAAATGTATCCATAATGTATCAGAATCTAAATAATCCTTGGTCTCAGTTTCAAATTAAACTCAGTATCATAAATAATTTTAGAAAAACTAGAAATAGGAGACATTTTTATATTTAATTCTTTTTAATAATGAAATTAATGAATTTCTTTTCTCTATTACTTTTATTCTATTGTCAAAAATTTTATCTTTTCTCAACAATGACAACATACAAAGAAAAAATTTTCGGATTTTATTAGATGACTGTAAAATAAGCGAATGCGATTCTGAAAATGCAAGTCAGAAGTAGGATCATGATATCAAAATGTATAGCCTTAAATCCTGGTTAAGAGGATTCATTGAAAAATGTTAATCTGTTCTCAGAATATTTGAGTTACCAAATATGCCCATTCTGAACCGATTAAGAAATATTGAAATTTAATTTTATTATTAATTTTGTTATTAATTTTATTATTTTTTTATTATTAATTTTATTACTAATTTTATTATTAATTTTATTATTAATTTTATTTTTTTTTATTATTAATTTTATTATTCATTTTATTATTCATTTTATTATTAATAAATTTGAAAATTTAAGAAAAATTTTACATTTTAAATCATAAAAAATAATGGAAAAATAGAGGGTTTAACTGTATAAATAAAAAAAGTAAATTCATAATTTTTTTCTTAGATATAACTGTTTAATTGTAATTATACATTAAATCTCATAGTGTTGTCAAGAATATAATGTAAGATGAAACGGTATACAATATCAGATCACAAAGCATTAAATATAGCTCGTTATAAATTATATCTGAAGATTAATCTAGTTCCTCTACATCTTCTTCGTTCTCTGGCGTTGAACAGAAATCGATTTGGTACCATTGACGGTGACGTTATTATGTTGCTTGGTGGTCGGTTTGGAGTATGGTATGATCGCCGGGATTGCGGTAAATCTAATTCTCTTACTCTATTTCGCGGCCCGGCCCGGACTATTGATCGAAGAGCGGATCGTCGATGGTTTGACCATGCTTTTCGTATCTCCCAAGCAATCTCTGAGTTTCCCAGCCGCGGAGTATCTACGAGAACGAGTAATGTCGTGGTAAGTTCCGCCGCAAATTCGAGTAAGAAACGATTCGTATGCGCTTATACATATACTATGTCTTTCGGAGATGCGCAAAAATTTTGTGAAATTGCGTGAAATTTTAAAATTTATAATTAATAACTAATTAAGTATCTTGACAAATGTTTAACAATAATGACAAATAAAACAAAGTTTAACACAATAAAGAAAATATTATTCCTCAGAAATTTATATTTCTATAATTTGAATGATTATATCTTGAAAACTTGGAACCTCAAAATATTCTCGTTAAAAAATTACTTGCAAATTTTATCACAAATCAACGCCACGTGTGTGTATCAGGGAGGTATGTATTTTCGATTTGCATGTTTAGGTGCGACAAGAAATCAGAAAACTTGCCTGTGATAGTGGACGGTCGTAATGTACTTAGGATTGATACCACAGTCGCAAAAAACTTGGCGCTACTCGTATCGGATCTTGCAACGCGAAATCAGAAGCTTATTTTTTGGAATTGGAGTGAGGATGCGAAGCAGACGTTGATATGTTACGATCCATCACTCGCGGCCTATTGTAAATCGTCTGACAGCATAATACAGCTATTTAAAGGTAATTTCAGATTCTCACAATTTCTTTTTCAATTGCTTGTTTATAAATAGACTTCGGTTTACAATATAAATATTTTCTTTGATATACAGGGTGTCCCAAAAGTCCCGGACCGGTCGAATATTTCATAAACTATGCACTTTAGAAAAAAATGTTTCAGACAAAAGTTGTATGGCTTAAAGGACGCCATCAAATAGTGGCAATGATTTGACATAGAAAAGTCATTTGAAAGTCACGTAAAGATCACCGTCAATTTCTTAAATAGAACTCCCTATTTTTTATTAAATATTTTGGTAGCTTACGTCGAGAGCTTTCCAAAACACTATAATTAAGTTAGTTTTCATTAAGCACTTTCCGAATTATGAGGCTTGAAATCATTTCTTAATTTTACATAAACCGTAAAATATCTTGTAAAATATTCATTTCTCTATTATCTTACCATAATACTTTTATGTACAAAATAATGAGAGGAATCAATTGGTGTAAAGAAAAAACATAGTTGTTTTTAAGAAAAAAATATGTAATTTGCAATTAACAATTACATATTTTTTTTAAAAACAACTATGTGTTTTCTTTATACCAATTGATTCCTCCCATTATTTTGTACATAAAAGTATTAAGGTAAGATAATCGAAAAATGAATATTTTACTAGATATTTTATGGTTTATGCAAAATTAAGAAATGATTTCAAGCTTCTTAACTCAAAAAGTATTCAATGAAGAAATACTTTATTATAGTGTTTTGGAAAGCTCTCGAGATAAAACACGAATATGTAATAAAAAATAGAGGGTTCTATTTAAGAAATTGAAGGTGACCTATACGTCAAATGATTCTCCAAGGTCAAATCATTGCCACTATCTGATGGCCCCCTTCAAGCCATACAACTTTTGTCTGAAACATTTCTTTCTAAAGTGCATTTAAGTGCAATAGTTTATGAAATATTCGACCGGTCCGGGACTTTTGGAACCTGTACATTTATCCTGAATTAATGTTTCTATTTTCTATTTTATTAAAAATAAATAAGTGTATAATGTAATTAAAATATGTAAAAACAAAATATAAATAATATATATAAATAATATAAATAAAATATGTAAAACAGATAAAAAAAGCAAAATACTTTTGTATTTTTTCAAAGTTAAGACAAATTCTAATATTATTTAATATTATACAAATGATTTGTTTTTGAGATTCTTGTCGATAATAAAAAATTTTTTTATGTTCAGTTTTAGTACAGGTTTTTTTGTTTTATTTTTGCTCTATTAAAATGAATGCAATGACCAGTATCAGTTTGCAAATTTACGAACGGTAGTTTTCTCTTTCCGATATTCGATGAAACAAAACAGAAAATAACGCTTTAAAATTTTCCTTGTTTTTCGACGTGCTATGCGTGCGCGAGTCTGCAAATTTACAAGCCTCTACGCTTTTAAAGAGGATACGCCCGGTGATTATTCGGAGTTGTTAATGTATATCCGGAAATTTCCGTATCAACAGATTCGAATGTGACGCGACGTGACGTTCGGGAAACACACATTTGTGAATTTATGTCCGTTACTTTCTTTTAAGAAGAAAGAAGAAAAATAAATACAAAAATAGCTCCTCGAGGGATCAATAGGAATTTCGCATTCGGTCGAAGAAACTTTTTCAAGTCGTCGCGAAAGACGTTACATCCATAGTTCTCGACAGACTCATACTGGGAGGGATTTTGCATTGCGACTATATATGCAGTTACGATCGAACATCATGGGCATTTACACGACCTATACCATTACGTATGCGCATATCGAATCACTTATGACGATTTTTCCCTTTTTTCCCCTAGAGAATTACCCTCTGTCTCATGCTGATATTACACTTCGAACGTACACCATACTGTTTCTATTGTATAACAATTGTAAAGACCAATTGTTCGCTACAATTGATATAATAACTCGCAGTATTCTAAATTGCTGTGTTTCACATGTTTCATATAAATCTTTTCATGGATATATTTGCCATTAATGTGATTAATTTGCTAAAAAAATTTCGCAGTGCCTTATTAGAATCGATGAGATATTCTGGAATCACTTGCAATCCAATACATATTCTGGATCTAATTGTATATCATATTTTTTTAATATTTATTTTTTCAAGTACCAATGTTAATAATTAAATAATAATATTAATAATTAAATAATAATATTAATAACTGAAAGTTAACTAACATGATGTGGTGAAATCTGTCGGATGATTTTGTTTAAGATTATTTTATCGATTCATCATTTCCGTGAAAAATTTATTTATCGCTCATCAAAAACTGACATTTTTATGCCATAATTTTAATAAAACTTTAGTTGAAAATCAAAAGACTTTATAAATTTGCCAGCATTTTATGCTTTCTATTGGTGCAATAATACATATAGCCGTCTCTAATAATATCTTAATTTTATAATGACAATTTTATAATGTTAATTGCATCGTTTTTTGTTTTTAGATGAAACTGTAATTTGCTGTGAATCACTTGAGCTACTGCCATAACAAGATGTATGTTCGCTACAATTTCTACAATAAATTATAAGGTGCTATTTGTTCTAATTGTTTATTTAGAATAATTATAGTGTATTATGTAATGTATAAATATATATAATGTAATATATAAATGTAATATAATATAATATTATTTAAAGTTTAGAAAATAATAGCAAACTATTTTTTATGCATTTACAGCGCTCCCTTTGTGCATTCATGTACATGTATTCTGATGTAAGCGATAATCAGATTAACTAGGGAAACTATGTATAAGTTTTATATATATATATAGATATTGATGAATATTATTTTTATCATCGAGAAGGCGATAGAGCGGGTTACATTAGCGATAGGTTGTTGGCCTTTATTTTATCACATTTCTTCATAAGACGGACAGTCATTTTCTAAATCAATTAATAATATATACTGCATTTCAAAATTATTGAATCAAAATTATAAAAAAGAATCCTAATGATATGAGCTAATATTTCACTATTAGATACATACATATACATATACACATACATACACATTTTCTCTCTTTGATAATTGAAATATATAATTATTAAAAAACTGTCATACACACACATATATTGCTTTACAGTAATTATACACATATTATGCTATATTATCATAAAGATACTAGATAAGGCTATTATATTGAATTTTGCATAATTCAAATATTTTGTGTTTGTATAACATATTTTGATTGTGTAAAACATCGTTTATAATTATTTAGCTTATTAATTGTATATAATTATGTATACAAGAATTGGAGAATATTATAAATACTACTTATAATGTACAGATCATTGTTTTCATTCGATAAATTACATTAGTTTGTACTCACAAAAAAATATATAACAGAAAATCATTTTACTCATATTTTACTGGAATATTATTGTCCATTTAAATAATAATAATTTTATCTTGAAAGTTTTACGTAGTTGGTGTTATATGATTATGCATAAACTTAATATTTTAAATAAATCATATTTATGTTAAATAATACCTAATTTCAGGCGATTTATAACGATTCGCGATAAAATTTAAGGCAGAGTTTTATTAATAATTTTATGCGTTATATGTTTAAATGTTTATATTTTTATTTTACATATTTCAAAATATATTTTATATTTTATATTACATTGCACATAAAATTGATAAATAAAATTTTGCCTTGAATTTTGTTATGATTTATAGATGATTTAGAAGAAGCTTTTTAAAAAAGTTCTTATATTTTTATTCTTATTTTATTCTTATCTTTCCATTAATTTCTTTCTTAAAATTTACTATTATATATAAATTCCTATATAAATTTATATATAATTATTTATAAATTAAATAAAAATTAAATCAAAATTGGCATAAGAGTCACAATGCAGTAGTTAAGACGCAGGGGAAGAAACAACACTTCCTTCTAATTGATTGTTGTTTATTTCAAATCTAAACACTACATAAATAACGAATGTTTCGGATTGTCTTTTGATCCTTCTTCAACGCGATTAATAATATAAAAACAAACTATTGCATTGTAAAAAAAGGAGGAAAATTTATCTCTTCCTAATCGCGCGAGTAACACAAAATTGCATCGCACAGAGCTCTAGCAAGCCTGCTGCTTCCAAAAGTTCATCAAATATATTAAAATTTGCTGTGTAGAATCGTAGCAGATTCAACAGATCAAGTAAAAAATTAAATACCGACATTATATGTGAATTCTTTTTATGTTTAAAATTGATAATTGGAAGTATGGCTTAACAGATTCCACGCGGTTGACGTACTCAAGAGATAGATCAATGTCCAGAAGAAGATTGTTAAAATAAATTTGCAGATCAAGTTCTTAAAGAACTGTATAAATAATGACATTGTTCCACCACACATTAGCCGATGTGCGACTATAGGCAAAAATTTGTATCATAATAAATCCGTACGAAGTTTTAGTCAGATTATAAACCTCTTTTGTGTCACCGTTTTATGAAATGAGATCGATGACGCATTTGAGCGTCGCGCATACAGACATATAATTTTAATACATTTGATGAACTTTTGGAAGCAAGGCTTGCTAGATCTCCGCGCGATACAGTTTCCCGTTACCCGCGCGTCGAGGAGGAGATAAATTTTCCTCCTTTTTTTACAATGCAATAATTTATTTTTATATTATTAATCGCGCTGAAGAATGATCAAAAAACGAAATGTTCGTTATTTATGTAGTGTTTAGATTTGAAATAAATAACAATCAATAAGAAGGAAGTGTTATTTTTCCCCTGCATCTCAACTACCGCTCTGTAGCTCTTATGCCAACTTTGATTCAATTTTGGTTTATTTTGTTTTGAGCCAAATTCCTTATTATTAAATTATAAATTAAAGACGATAAAATTCTGTTTATTAATTTTATATATAATATAATATAATATAGAAAATGTTTTTAAACATATTAAATATATATAAAACACGTAAATATAAATAAAAAAATAAACATTTAAACATATGAATAAAATTATTAATAAAACTCTATTTTGAATTTTGTTGCGAATTATATGTATACAGGGTGAGTCATTTTAAATTACTCATCTCAATAACTTTCTTATTTTTGATTGTAGAAACAAATGTTTTATTGTTAGTTTGTCTGAAATATTTGTTTCTACAATCAAAAATAAGAAAATTATTGGCGTCGATAACTTACAATGATTCACCCTGTAGAATGTATAAATCATGTATCTCTAGAGAATGAATTGATAAAGTCAAAATAAGTCGAAAATAAAGAATGACAAAATTGTGTTTCGAGTTTTCTTTAAAGAGTTACAATCAAAATCGTGCTAATTTGTGCATTTAAGTTAATAGGGGGGTATTCAAATACCCCTTCTATAATTCTATTTTTAGAATATTATTATATAAAATGTATGCTATTTGTTTTCTTACGTGGTACATTATTTAATAAACTAAATAAATTTAATAAACTTAAAAATATAAAGCATATTATTTAATAAACTGCAATTAAAATAATTTCAAAGACTGCGGCCAAATGGCTATAGGCGATGCTCATCAATTTTTTGCCACTTAATTTGATGGTCGAACGGAAAGAAAAAAATTGAGTTAATTATAAATTTTGTGATGCATGCTGTTTCAGAAAAAATGGGCAAAAAAATTAACATTACGCTGGTCAGTGGGGATGAAAAATAGTAAGTGGCAGATTTGGAACTTTAAAAGTCCATTTTCTCTGAAACGATCCATGCATTACAAAATTTACACCGTTGTAATCTGCACGAATACTTTCTTCTGATACTTATTTCAACCAGCAAAGTAGCAAAAAATTGAAGAGTATCTTAGTCTCAGTCTTTAAAATAAGAATTTTCTTCAAAAAATGTGACAATTATCTATTTGTTAATTAATTAATATGTTATGATTCATAACTTATTATTATCAAAACAATTACAAAAATTTAAACAAATTTTAATTTAAGCAAAAATAATAAATCAAATAAATTATTTGATTTATTATAACTATTGTAATATATATATATATATATATATATATATATATATATATATATATACAAGGTAGATCATTTTAATCAGTACACGCGAATATCTCAGAAACACTGCATTAAATCGAAAAATGTTCAGACGAAAGTTATATGGCTTGAAGGGGGACATAAGATGGTGCCATTAATTTGATCTTGAAGAGTCATCTGAAGATCACGTGAAGGTCACCTCCAACTTTTTAAAAAGGACACCCTATATACTTTAGCATATTCTTGTAGCTTGCCTCAAGAGCTTTTCAAAGCATTATAATAAAATATTTTTTCATTGAGTACTTTTCGAGTTATGAGGCTTAAAATATCTTAATTTTATATAAACCATAAAATATCTAGTAAAATATTCATTTTTCGATTATCTTACCTTAATAAATTTATGTACAAAATAATATGAGAAATCGATTGGTGTAAAGAAAAAACATAGTTATTTTTGAGAAAAAATATGTAATTATTAATTGCAAATTACATATTTTTTCTCCGAAACAATTACGTGTATAAAATATAAATATATAAAAGTGATATAAAATTTAAATTAAATATAATGTTTAATTAAATTATTTAATATTAAATATAATTTTTAACATTGATTCCGAATATAAAATTGACCTTGAAAGTAACTGTGATAAAATAATGAACTTTAATTTTGAGATTGACGGAGGCACTTTCAGAAAAAACGTTTGATATAAAAGTTTCTTATTTTTTCACGTACAATTCAAATCTGTAATAAAAAGTACTATGTTCCCTTAAAAAGATTTAACTTCCGGATGGCGTATTTCCGATTGGAATCAAAAGTTGAAAATATCATCAATTGATAGAGCGATTTATTTAGAATATATATAATATCCGATTTTTTTTTTAAATTGTTCGCGATTCTTGATAAAAGCCACTCATTTTCATTTTAAAAGGTGTGGACGGGTGGTCTGGAACACCCTGTATATATATATTTTTTCCTTTTACAGTAATTTTATATATATATATATTTATATATATATATATATATATATATATATATATATATATATACAAGGCGACCCATTTTAACTTAGGCAGCCAAATAACTCGAAAAATAAGCACACTACGAAAAAATGGTTAGAATCAAAATTTCGTCATTTCGAGGGGGATGTACAATGACGTTAAAATCAGCCCCCTTACCCCTCTCCCTGGGCGGTGAGGGGGGACAAGTTTGAAATCTTAAATGGGAACCCCTATTTTTCATTGCATATTCTTGTAGCTTATCTCGAGAGCTTTCCAAAACACTATAATTAAGTACCTTTTTATTAAGTACTTTTTGAGTTATAAGGCTTGAAATAATTTCTTAATTTTACATAAACCATAAAATATCTAGTAAACCATTCATTTTTCGATTATCTTACCTTCATACTTTTATGTACAAAATAATGAGAGGAATCAATTGGTGTAAAGAAAACACATAGTTGTTTCTAAGAAAAAATATGTAATTTGCAATTAACAATTCCATATTTTTTCTTTGAAACAACTATGTGTTTTTTTTACATCAATTGATTTCTCTCATTATTTTGTACATAAAAGTATTAAAGCAAGATAATCGAAAAATGAATATTTTACTAGATATTTTACGGTTTATACAAAATTAAGAAATGATTTCAAGCCTCATAACTCGAAAAGTACTCAATGAAGAAATACTTTATTATAGTGTTTTGGAAAACTCTCTCGAGATAAGCTACACGAATATGTAATAAAAAGTAGGGAGTTCCATTTAAGAAATTGAAGGTTACCTTTACGTCATCTTCAAATGACTCTCCAAGGTCAAATCATTGCCACTATCTGATGGCCCCCTTCAAGCTATACAACTTTTATCTGAAACATTTTTTTGATTTTTCATTATTTTCCGAAATATTTGAGTGGATCACTTAAAATGGCCCACCCTGTATATACAATATATATATTATATATATTATATTGCCAGAAATTAAGGATAGGAACGTATATGGTAATTGTGTATGTAGGATTAATATTTCAATGCAACTTATTCTTGCCTTCTTTCAAGTAAATATGTAAAATTATATACATATATATATATAGTGTTTGCTGTAGATAATTTCAAAATTATCTAGATAAAGATAAAGATAAAAATCCGTAAATTTATTTTAAATGAGATAAAGATGATTTTGCTTTTACTTAATCTAGATGAAAGATGAGATAATTATTGCGATAATCTGGATAATTATCTAGATATTTTTGTTTATTTTAGAAGACTATAAATATTTGTAAAAAATGTGACGCAGATTATAAATGGGATATTAAAATCATAAACACATATTCTTTCTCTTTTCCTAAAAAATATTTAAATAATAGTAAAAAGGTATATAAATGATATGATAAATATTTATTTATTATTTATATTTATAATATATTTATAATATATTTATAATATATTAATAATATAATAATAATATATTTATAATATATTAATAATAATAATATAAAAAATATATTTTAGATATTTTAGATAGATTTTTAGAAGCTTGCCTGGAAAACTTTTTTGCATAATGAAAACGTCATCTTAGACAATTTTTAGATAAGATGACATATATTTTTCATCTAAGATAAAGATAAAGATACTTTGTATTTCTTCATCTAGTTAAAGATAAAGATGATCCATTTCTTTATCTAGATGATTATCTAGATAATTTTATCTAGATACCAGCAAACACTATATATATATATATATATATTTCATATCACTACTTACCGGCACCAAAGCTTCTCATCCGTCGGTCGAATCTATCGCAGTTTAATAAAGAGACAGATGGAATCGCATCCGCGGCCTCCAAATTCCAAACGCGCCCTTTCGACTGTAGGTGCACGCGCAGGCGCACGAGCAACGCATAACGTAACCAATCACAACGGCGGGTGGTAGAGGGTGCTCGGATCGATGCGGCGGTCGTCGAGCGTTCGCGTCGCCGAACGGTTCGGTTTCGCGCGGCTCCCTCGCTCGTCTTGATTTGGCTTGTCGTGTCATTTCTTCTGTTGACGATTAGCCGATCGACGTTGATCCGGCAGACAGGAGAGACGTTACATGCATACGCACGTGTGCTTTTCCATTTACCTATCTGCCTGCCCGCCTATTATTGCGGCCTGTCCGGAGTACCCTTTCTTCGGCTCATCGCGCGAATTTTGTTCGTTTTTTCACCCTTCGGATCGCGGGGAATCACTTGAGGTCGCGGTCGCGTGTCGCGATTGATCGCGATAGAGCGCCGTATATACGCTACGTCTTTTTATTTATTTGCTCGATAATCGGCGAGACGAAGATCGTCATCGCGATATGAGTATGAGACGTACGGCCACTGCCAGTAATGACAGCTGTCAGATGGATGTTGAGGCACCGCCGCCAAGTGATAGGACGTCGCGTGGATATCGAGCGTTAATTGTGAGTAGCAGATCCCTCTTTGACATCTTATCGGTCAGCTCGAGGGTGCCGAGAATGTTTGTCCTCGCTTCGCCTCACGTCAGAGTATGTGGTGCATACAAGATGCGAGGGTTGCGCCGCTTGCTGCACCGACTTCGGAGTATGTTGTATGCTATGTGCGCGTGGTTCGATATATTTTATTTTCTCTTCTTGCTTTTTTTCTTCTCCCCTTTTACGGAGTTTTCGCGAGACGATCCCGCAAATTAATTCACCTCGCGATTCGCATAATTTGTGTTAGTGCTAAATCATCGACTGTGCGGCGTCTTCTGGGCGGAAGGAATAGCATCCACGATGAATCTAGGCCAGAACGCGTGATTTTATGAAAAAGAAAAGTTTGAAAAAAAAAACATTTTTATTTATTATACTTAGTAATTGGACAATTTAATTTTGTCGATTATGTTTATAAATTTACGCACAATTTACGCAATTGTACATCACGTATATTTACAGCTTTTATCTTTCTTTTTCAAAGAAAGCTTAAAATGATTTTTTTCTAGCTTTATTATATTTTATATTTTATATTTTATATGTATTTTATATTTTATATATTATATTTTATATTTTATATTTATAAATATATATTTATAAAATATATTATATTTTATATTTTATATTTTATAAAGTAAAGAATTAGGCTCTATATGTATTAAATAACACGATAAGAAATTAGCAAATAAGAGTCACCGCGGATAGGTAGTGCGTAAAATTTTTCTTTAATTATTCACATATATTTTTTGGTGCATTTATCAAGATGTAGATTCTCATTTTTGAGAATTCTGTACACCCCTCTTTACCCCCTGAAGTTTATATTTTATATTTCGGTTTTTCTGAAACAGAAAGTAAGACTGTCTATAGAGGAATCCTTTATAGATTTTTAATTAGAAGAAGATAAAGAAGCTAGAATAATTTACTTCGTAATTCCTTTTCACTTTCAGTTTTTTAATTGTAACATAATTTCTGCTATGTATGAAGTTTTTTCATATTTTATTTAAAATCTATTTTCTAGAATTTTTACAGAATCGTTTGCGTTACGAATATACCATCAGTTCTCTTGCACCTTTTTATATATCTGGAACAGTCTCCATTTTATAGAGCAAGTTTCATTAAATTTATGATATGATTAATTAAACTGCGTAATAGTTATCCGGGATTTGTGTTATATGAAACTGTTTTCGTTATCACAGATGAATACATATTTTTAATATAATTCCTGTACCCGTATATTTGATTGTATCATTGCTTTATTTCAATTTTCATGGCTACATAAACTCATCGTCGATAAATGCGGAAATATCGTCGAACAATACATGCAACAATGTTTTATTCAATATTAATTTGATACTTTATTATTGTTGTATTACTGTTTTATTATATCTATTATTATGTGTACACCTATTTGCATATTAAAATAAGTAAAAAAAAACTTTATACACATGTAATAATAATGTAATAATAATGAAAATGATAATAATAATGAAAACGGGAAATTATATTTTAGTGTGCAATTACATATAATTGCAGGCAAACAAACGGTTAAGCTAATTATTTCTCATAATTCTATGTTTTTTTTTGTACGACTGCAATATGCGACCCAAGTTTATGCACCAAAATTTTTTAATAATTGCCTTTTAAAATTTTCCGTTAAATTAATTCCGTGCAACTGACAATGAGATAGAATTGAATAATTTTATATCACAATATATCATATTCGACATATCACATATGCTTATCTAATATTAAAAGTAAACTTAATACGATTTTTCTGCGAGATGTATACGTTTGTTTCCATCTGTTATTATTAGTTATACATAATTATTATTGAAAATTACATGTTGTACGCATAGGACTTTATAACACATGAGGATTTTATAATTTCAAACAATACTACTGTCTACATTCGATGGCATGATATCACTTAGTATTAAGTACAAATTAATAAATTGATATAGAATTACGCTCTGTTATGTATTAAACAACACGATACACGAGAAAAGAGCGATTAAGAGGATGATAGTGCGTAAAATTTTATTAAAGATTAATTATTTGCGAAAATTAGAACGTGCGCAAGGCATATGCATATATTTTCACTTGATGCATTTACCAAGATATAGATTCTCATTTTTGGGAATTCCATAAAAACCTTTCTTTATTAAGTACAAAGTTTTTTCGATCGATGACTTTCCTTCGCTTCCTCAACGAATGAAGTGAACTTATCGGAAACGAAAGCAATAAAAAATAAATCACTCCCATCGTTATCGATACTATGGGGACAGTTTACTGACCGATTTTCCCTATTGCCCCTTTTATGTAATCCCGGCGGATGAACGGTCGATGCATACGAATACTAGATAAAACGACCTCGAGTTGATAAGAGGATTAAGTGTCGCACTACATACTGACATACTCGTATGCATGCGCGTGCAGCACATCTGTATCGAAAGCGAGCAAAATCAGACTTTTTTTATCTGACAGTGCGTGCCATTTGTGAAAAATCGCATTTTTTTGTCTTTTTCAATTGTCACGCGATAGTATCTGCGTCATTCTGTAAAAAAGGAGATCGCAACATGAATATCATGCGTATGTAGTATGGAAAATTGACATTTAACTGGCCTTACGATTAGATCTGGAGTTCAAGTTTGTGCGAACGTTAATAGCTTCTGTCTCTTTAGATATCTTTTCACGATATTTATACTATTATTGGACTTTATAGTCTCCATTTATCGGTTACAATCGTGAATTTTGTTCACAGCAATTATTACATGCGCAAAAATAAATCGAACATGTAAAATGTTAGGGTTTTTGTATATAAACAAAGCGTTATTTTCGAAAATGAATCTTGCCTGGAAAATTTTGAACCTATGTTGACTTACTTATTGGTGGTTTATATGGAAAATAATTATGTAGATTATATTGTATTCGGCATCTTACCAAGAACTGATTAGTTTATATATAGAGAGCATACCAAGCAATCACCTGCAATTTTAAACGAGTATGTAATCAAATGTTAATTTAGTTTCTTCCAGACAATTGATATATAATCAAAGTTTTTGACAACATTCTGTATATGTAAATTAATTTGATTAAATTAATAAAAATAATAAAAATAAATTAATAAAAATAAATTCCATTAAATTAATAAAAATTTATACACAAGACATGTGTATTAAACGTACGGTAACTTTTCTAAAAATAAATTATAGAAAAAAATTATCACTGAACAAAAATTTATTTTGTGGTTTTATTATTATGCTTATTCTTTTTATAGATTTTCTAACATTTCTAAAAATAGAAAATATGGAGAAAGATTTATATCTCACACATACACATATACAATTTTTTACGCGATAAAAATACGTGGACGTAGATCAGTGTTTGCTGTAGATAATTTCAAAATTATCTAGATAAAGATAAAGATAAAATTTGTAAATTTATTTTAGATGAGATAAAGATGATTTTGCTTTTACTTAATCTAGATGAAAGATGAGATAATTATTGCGATAATCTAGATAATTATCTAGATATTTTTGTTTATTTTAGAAGACTATAAATATTTGTAAAAAATGTGACGCAGATTATAAATGGGATATTAAAATCATAAACACATATTCTTTCTCTTTTCCTAAAGAATAAATAATAGTAAATAATAATAAATATTAAATAATAGTAAAAAGTATAATTAAATAATAGTAAAAAGGTATATAAATGATATGATAAATATTTATTTATTAATTTATATTTATAATATATTTATAATATATTTATAATATATTTATAATATATTAATAATATAATAATAATATATTTATAATATATTAATAATAATAATATAAAAAATATATTTTAGATATTTTAGATAGATTTTTAGAAGCTTACCTGGAAAACTTTTTTACATAATGAAAACGTCATCTTAGACAATTTTTAGATAAGATGACATATATTTTTCATCTTAGATAAAGATAAAGATACTTTGTATTTCTTCATTTAGTTAAAGATAAAGATGATCCATTTCTTTATCTAGATGATTATCTAGATAATTTTATCTAGATACCAGCAAACACTGCGTATGATAGAAGAATTATAGTCAAAATTATATAATATAATTATATATATATATATATATATATATATATATATATATATATTATAATTTCATGTCTATTTTTGAATGAATATTGCGTAACGTAAAAGTATGAGATATAGCCTAACGTACAATACTGTGAAATTTATTTTGAATTTAAATTAGTTATTCGACGAGTTAATTAAATATTTTCTGGATGTTATGTTTGAAAATATTCAAATAGTGCATTACGTTTCTCTTTTCTTTATAACTTCTTGATTTTCATATTTTTTTCTTAGCTTTCCCGCTGCATAATTTTCTAATTATAACCTCGACTATCATCTATCGTTTCTGTGGCTCATAAAAACCTTGTCACTCAAACTTGCAATTAAACTGTCAGTTGTCATAATTGACAAAGAACAACCGTCGTGCCACAATTAGCAACGACGATTTCATCGTTGGTGTGCACAGCGACGGTCGCTTTATTGTTTCTACAGCGAAATAAATCATTCCCGCCTCCGTGTCTGCTTTAATGAATCGTTCATTTTCAGCGTCGCTAAATATGGAGATCCTGGAAAAATACGCGTATTCTAGTAACATATGCAATAAATAATTAATAATTTATATTAATGTTAAGAATATTACATAATAAATAATTGAAGTAGATTGAGCACGAGAAAGTGAAAGGGAGAGAGAAAGAAAGAGAGAGAGAGAGAGGGAGAGAGAGAGAGAGAGAGAGAGAGAGAGAGATTTGTATATAATAATAGAATACACATTTATGAATTATCTGTCAATTATGAAAATTTAACTCTCTTTTTCAATAATTTTTTTATATAGTTATATAATTATTTTTTTTATAATTACTGTTATTATAATTGTCGAATGAAGGATCGTAAGAAGCTATTCTTTTATTACACAGTTTGAAAGTCTACAAGGATATTTTATATTATTATAAATTTTGAGAAAAATAATAAGTTTAAAAAATGTTAATCTCTTTTAATAATCCGAATTACTTTCTTTAAAAAACAATAAAAAAATAAAAAAATAAAAAAACAAAAAAAAACAAAAAAAAACATAAAACATAAATTATAAGATATTTGGTCTTTATATTTCAAAAGATAATATTACTAAAAAATTATTATTTTTTACTAATTTCTTGAGACTATGAAATGCATTAATTTATGTGTAGGAACTAAATGTGAAGAGTAAATATAGCATTTATTTTATCAAAGTTAAGAATAAATTTATCAAAGTAATAAATTTTATCATTTATTGATTAATAATAATGTTTAATAATTTTATCAAAGTAAAGAATATGCCAATTTTTCAATTTTTTTTTCAGAAAAATTAATAATTTTAAGACTGCGATCATATTAAGAATCAATAATAACGAAGAGAACTATGCTATAGTTTACTGTCTCGGACAACGTCTCGTGTTACTTATAGGTCACAACGTCAGGAAGCAGAGGAAAATTTTCCGATGTTCGAACATATAGCCGAGTTCAGAGAATCGATTCGATGCAACAGGCGGAAGGAAATAATATCTATTGCGGTCAAACTGACCGGATTGCCCTTAAGGTTTTCTGCGTTCATTTCCGTGCGCATATAACTAAACAGTATATAATAATCGAAAATGAATTATAAGCTGGTTATTATCGTACTTTAAGCGAATATTTCGTTTACATTTTATTCATGGCATTTTATTCGACATTATATAACATTACAGTCACGGGAATTAGTCGGAATAAAACGGAATGAGAATGATTCTTCAAAAGTTCGATAATTTATTTTTTTTATCGATTTATTGACTTATAAATACACGGTAAAAAACATTTTGTATTTCTGCGTAAAATTTTTCGTGTAAAAATTTTTGTGTTAAATTTTTGACATACTCTTATGTTAATGTTAACATATTATCGTTGTGTTATTTTGACATTTCTGCGTTGAGTTAATATTCACCATTTCTAAGAGTTAAAACAACACAATTAATATGTAAATGCACGAATTTTTGATGAAATATGGTATATGTTAAAATGAACAGATAAATTGTGTTATTTTTCTCTCTATAACAGTTTCCATATTAAATCGACATATCTCTTCTGTTATTTATCATAAAAATGTAAAAATAACGTTTTCTTTTAATTACATTTAACATTATAAATATGTTAATTTAACATAACTTTATTTCCAGATAAAGTTTAAGCGTTACACTTTTGTGTTAATTTTTAAACATATTACTTGTGTTATTTATTTATATACTTGCCTTCTGTTAAATTAACATTAAAATTAGAGTGGATAAATTGGGACATGTGAAATATGTTAAATTTAACACAAAATTTTTTACTGTGCTATTGTAAGATTATTCATTCTTTTAGAGCGTATATTAAAAGAAGTAATGAGAAAGTAAATTCGAGTTAAAAATCAATGTTGGCCGACCATGCGAGGATTTATCCACTGCGTTTTCTCTGCTAATAAATTATTACACAGCATTACTATAATGCATCTTACATGTCTATGCCTTGATTATTACATTATTAAAATAAATGTACATACATGCATATATACACACACAAATACACACACACATATATATAGGGATAATGTGTATATACAAGAAAAAATTTGTTTTATAGCATTAATTTTGTCTATATCCAAGATTTAATTTATAGCTGTATAAAAAAATATATTACGAAAAGTGTGTAGTTTTGCAACTTATTTAATTTGATGTTTGAAATTCAACAGAAAAATAGAAATATATATATATATATATATATATATATATATATATATATATAATATAAGAAAACAAGTTGTGTGTTTTTAGTACTAGTACGTAGAATTATATTACTATTAAATTATTATTAATTTTTAACTTTAATAGATTATCTTTAATATACAATTAATAAATTTTCACAAGTGAAAATATAATAATTTATTAAAAAAGAGTTGTAATAAACGCGACTTAGAGATTATTGTGAAACAAATTTTTATTTATCTATACATTAAAAGTTTTTAAATCGTCATTGCGATTCTATTTTCCATGTAAATCATCAAAAATTTAAAATATATTTTATTAGATATATTAGAAATACCTCAGACACATTAGAAACATATAATTCAAAGAAAGAGGGAAGAAGGGGAGGGGGAAAGAGAGAGAGAGAGAGAGAATTTGACTAGATTACTATTTCAAAACTGCCTAAAAGATTAAATCTATTTTTGAAAGATAAATTAATTGCGTATATTTTTTGATAATAAGAAAAGGGAAAAACGTAGCTATTTATTTAAAACATTCAAAGTTTTTTGATGAAAAATAATTGCAGAAAAGTAATTTAATTATGACAGATATGTATATTTTTTGTAAAAGAGATAAGGATTTAATATTTTTAATATTTTGTGAATATAATATATGATGTATGATGATAATTTTACGGATTTAATAGGACTCTTCTAGTACGTATTTTATAGACTGATTAATGGCGTGAAATTTTTTGTTCTCTCATCGATAAAAACATTTTACAATTGCCCACGCAATTCAATCATTAAAAATATCGGCTGTTCTAAGTTTGTATAATTTATGCTATGGTGCTTCTTAATACGCGTTACGGTTTTATGTACGTACATATGTATACATATATACACACACAAAATCAGATATGTATCGCATAAAAATATTTTCAACCTGGCCACATTTCTGTGTTACACAGCATGAAAATTTAGCTACATTATAAAAAAGTCACGTTATTACAAGTATGTATATATTTTTTTTAATACATTTATTTTGCAATATTTCGCAATATTTTTGTTAAGTTATAATGTTTTGATATTGTAAACAAATCACATTATTTAATTTTACTTTGTTTTAATCTTACTTTGAATGTATTACTTAGTTTTAATTTTTACTTTGATTAATAAGAAATTAATATTAAACAAAATATATAAATTAGCTCATAATGATAATTGGCAATATAATAATAATATTGAAAAATAACTATGATACCGCATCTCGATATTATAAAATTAATTCTTTATTTCTTGATATAAAATTCATGATATATTATAAAATTAATTCTTTATTTCTTAATAATTATGTTTTATAGATATTGTTTCATTATTATTATAAAATATGATACTTATGCAAATATAGGCCGTTCCTGATTTCAATTGTCACATACAGGATGTTCTATTTTAATCGATGACTCCGAATAACTTTTTTAATTTTGATTGTAGGAAAAAATGTTTCAGACAAAAGTTGTATGGCTTGAAGGGGGACATAAAATGGTGTGTTTAGTTTGACATTGAAGAGTCACCTGAAGGTCACGTGAAGGTCACATCCAACTTTTTAAATGGGACACCTTGTATGCTTTTACATATTGTTTTAGTTCATCAAGAGAGCTTTCCAAAACACTATAATTAAGTTAATTTTCATTAAGTACTTTGTGAGTTATGAGGCTTGAAATAATATCTTAATTTTACATAAACCGTAAAATATCTAATAAAATATTTATTTTTTGATTATCCTGCCTTAATACTTTTATGTACAAAATAATGAGAGGAATCAATTGGTGTAAAGAAAAAACATAGTTGTTTTTAAGAAAAAATATGGAATTGTTAATTGCAAATTACATATTTGTTCTTCGAAATAATTATGTGTTTTCTTTACAGCAATTGATTCCTCTCATTATTTTATACATAAAAATATTAAGGTAGAATAATCGAAAAATGAATATTTTACAAGATATTTTATGGTTTATGTAAAATTAAGAAATGATTTCAAGCCTCATAACTCGAAAAATACTCAATGAAGAAATACTTTATTATAGTATTTTGAAAAGCTCTCGAGATAAGCTACAAGAATAAGTAATAAAAAATAGGGGGTTCCATTAAAAAAATTGAAGGTGACTTTCATGTGACCTTCAAACAACTTTTCAAGATAAAACCAATGATACCATCTTATGTCCTCCTTCAAGCCATACAACTTTTGTCTGAAACATTCTTTCCTACAATTAAAATTAAAAAGCTTATTCGGGGTCATCGATTAAAATGGGACAGTCTGTATATTATCAATATATATTCTCACATATGTTCTCACAATTATCACAATTATATTATGTTATCAAAATTATCACTCTGAGTAATATAAAAGTTAATGAGATATTAATATACATATGAGTTAAAATTACGACAATGTACGAAATGTTTTATTCGAGATGAAATAAGAAGCAAATTAATAATAATTATATATAATAAATATAATAATTATATTATATAATTATATTACCATAATTATATTTTTAGGAAATATCACCCTCATGCTTGGCAGCAGTTTTCTTGGAACCACTTTAAGTAAGTAAACCAATTAAAGCTCTTTTTCTTCATTTCTCTGTATACATAATTATTTTAATCGGAATACAAATAATTAATTATGATATTAAAATCTCTTTTTGCATTTGCATACATTTTTATATATTTTATTTGCTTTAATGCCCATATGTATGAATAAATTTATGCATTTGTTGTGTATAATAATGAGTGACAAACATACTTATAAAAAAAGAAATATCTGAATCACATAAAAATTATATATTAAAATCGTGCATAAATTTGTTTACATATAACTTTTTTTTATGTCAACGCACGTGTCACATAATCAAAGTGCGCTATTGTATACATATATTTCGTTTGCTATACAAATATACAAGAAGAACAGTATTGCTCATATTTATTCGCAAAAATGAGTTTGTTTATTCACATCAGCGGTATCGATAACGGCAATTTTGTCCCGTTCTGTCTTCTGACAGGTAAATAAAGTTTTTCAAACTAGTTTTACGTTGGAACTCGAGCACACACCGTGCAGTCGATCTCCTCTGAAGTCGACGATTGAGAGAACTTTGTTTTCGATATCCGCTTCTCAGTGTGTACCGTTAACCTGTTTTCGTAAATCCCATGTGATTTCTTGAAAATGTGTGCGTGTTGTATTTAACGAAACGTTGCCGTATTTTTTCTTTTACTATTGGAAAAAAATTGAAGTTCCGTCGAGGATTTTGTTATACGTATATAATATGCGACCAGATCAATATACAGAGGTCCCAAAACTCATAATCAATCTTTCAAAGACAGATTCCTGGGATCATTTGGAGACGATTTTTTCTTCAGCGAAAATGTCGATGAAGGCCATCATTTTTTGCATGTTCCCAATTTTTGTCATCATATATCTTTGCAGTTAAACCTTAAATTAAAACTCAACTAAAGTAAACTCTATTTAAAATTAATCGAAGAATGTGGTTTTGTTAATATTTTATTTCTACAAAGCTTAGTTTACGAAAAACCCCTTATTTCCAATCACTTATAATTCGAAAATTATTAATGCCTCGATATTTTCGTTGAGGAAAAATCGTCTTCAGATCATCCCAGAAATCTGTCTTTGAAAGATTGATTAAGAGTTTTGGGACACCCGGTATATATTGGGACAATTTGGAATATTACCGAGAAATATGCGGATTTAAAAATTTAGCATGCAAATAAAAAGGTTTATTGCATAATTTTGAAATGTTTGCTGTGTCGAGAATTACGAAATATTGAAATAAAAAAGATTCTTAGCTCTTATACGTATGTATGTAAAAATAATACATAATTTGTCTGCACATTTTTTCTAGCAGAATTTTTTTTCATAGCCAACTTTACCATTTTATTATAAATTACAGGGGCAGAAGGAGCAAAAGTAGTAGATATTGTACATAAACATTGGACATGAAAATATGATTGCATAGATCGACACGTGACTCTATTGCATAATGTTTCCATTCGCAATATGTTTGTGTGAAAAGTACAATTTTCAACTCTCTAAAAGTGAATAAGTGAAAATATCACTAATTTCACTGAAAATCAGTGAGTATTTTATTGATTTTCAGTGGAAACGCTTATTTTTTTGTTATTTTATGGTCAGTTAAAATAAAATCACTATAAAACCAGGGGATCGATTGTGTACCACACAGCTTGGTGGAAAATTATAAAAGTGAGCAAATGTACTAGAATATTTATAATTTCATTAGTCAATATCTAGTAAATTTGCTCACTTTTGTAATTTTCACCAAGTTGTGTGATACACAACCTCCAGTAATTGCTAGTTCGTTCGTTTACTTCTACGATCGCTATCTCTCTCATATTTAATTTTAATCATAAGAATTATATAAAGTTTGCAAAGAGCGATGGATAAAATTAGAAGTATTACTTCGATTTAATTTTTGATACAATTTCAATAGAGAGGCTTCAGATAAACCGATCTTATAAGTCGGACAAATAAATGTCTGGCGACTTAATGAAAATTATGAGGAGTTTAATATTACTGACGATAGAAAGAAATATTACTGATATTGAGAAATATTACTGATTAAAACAGTCAAAATTATTGACTGATCCTTTCAGTAAAATATTACTGATTTACAGTGCTGTACTTATAAATGCTGTAATCATTATTTGCTGTTTTTCAGTGATAATACACTGATTCACTTTTAGAGAGAAGGATTCTTCTATTTTTTTCTCACATTTATCCACGACAGTCGTTTTTACCTCCTCATATTTTCAACTTTAAAAAGACTTTTGAAAGGCATTCTCGCATCGCCAAAGTTAGCAAACCTCCCCAATATCTGATTTAGACGAAAGTGACTTTGCCGAGGGTTGTCGGTTGCAGAGTCTCTACAAGCATGGGTTCAAGCCGAAGATCCGGCTCCGGTGGGAGTCGGCCAAACGCCGGCGTTCTCAAGGAGCGTGCCAACATGTCGTTCATGCTGGTTGTCATGTTCTTCGCCGTATTTGGTTTGATCGTCCTTACGGAGATATTCCTGATCGACGAGAGGCGCGGCGTGAGCGTCGGCGGCACCGGCGTACTCGGGGGTCACAGGAGCGGTCATCGATTGCCGGCTGCGCCCGATCGTCCGGATTACGGCGAAGTGGGAGTGAGTATTCACGAAGAGAAAGAGGGACGTTATATATCTTGATATATATCTCTGATTTTTCAGCGAATATATTTATAATAAGATTTTCCCTCTTGCTACATTATTTTAATCATTTTTCTCCCAATAAAAAGTTCATTTTTATCTTTATGTCGTTGTCAAACGTACAATTGTTTTTGAGAAAAAAATATGGAATTGTTAATTGGAAATTACATATTTTTTCTTAGAAACAACTATGTGTTTTCTTTACACCAATTGATTCTTCTCATTATTTTGTACATAAAAGTATTAAGTTAAGATAATCGAAAAATGAATATTTTACAAGATATTATGGTTTATGTAAAATTAAGAAATGATTTCAAACCTCATAACTTGAAAAGTACTTCATGGAAAAATAATTTATTATAGTGTTTTAGAAAGCTCTCGAGATAAGCTACAAGAATATGCAATGAAAAATAGAGAGTTCCATTTAAAAAAATGCACTTCCGATCTGAATCGTTTATTTCCGGCCGGAACCAGAAGTTGAAAATATCACCATTCGATAAAGCGCATCCGATTTATAAAGAAAATGTTTTTACTTTTTTGAAATAACCAATTCTCCAGTTTTTAAACGGGTGATCTGATCTGAAACACCCTGTATATGATATCTCCAGATGTCATTGCATTTTCGACTCGAACCCATCACGTTTAAATATTCATGTCTCACAAGCAGTGTTTGCTGGTATCTAGATAAAATTATCTAGATAATCATCTAGATAAAGAAATGGATCATCTTTATCTTTAACTAGATGAAGAAATACAAAGTATCTTTATCTTTATCTTAGATGAAAAATAAATGTCATCTTATTCAAAAATTGTCTAAGATGACGTTTTCATTATGCAAAAAAATTTTTCAGGCAAGCTTCTAAAAATCTATCTAAAATATCTAAAATATATTTTTTATATTATTATTATTAATATATTATAAATATAAATTAATAAATAAATATTTATCATATCATTTATATACCTTTTTGCTATTATAATATTTAAATATTCTTTAGGAAAAGAGAAAGAATATGTGTTTATGATTTTAATATCCCATTTATAATCTGCGTCACATTTTTTACAAATATTTATAGTCTTCTAAAATAAACAAAAATATCTAGATAATTATCTAGATTATCGCAATAATTATCTGATCTTTCATCTAGATTAAGTAAAAGCAAAATCATCTTTATCTCATCTAAGATAAATTTACAAATTTTATCTTTATCTTTATCTAGATAATTTTGAAATTATCTGCAGCACTGCTCACAAGTGTATCTAGCAATTTGACAAAGAGCAATTTATACGCACGGCTCAGTTTATTCGTACGCCTTTGCTCAGTTCATGTTCATTAAAGAGTTAAGTAAACTATAAAAACACGCCTAACCGGAGCTAATAGTATAAGGAGCTCAAATGAAGATATATTTGATAATAAACTCTTCAATATCAAACTCTTCATTCTACAGCTTCTAAGCCAATATTTTTGAAATTGCCCAATTTCAAGCTTAAACTCCGATAAATGTGGTCAATGAGATTTTGAATCATAAACACGCATATTTCTTTAACTTTGAGTCAACATGATATTCTCATTTATCTCGTATCGTTTTGTTCGCTTATTGATTTCGACAATTTTGACTCTTCATATCTTCGAAATCATTTCTATGCTTAACTTGAAATTTTTTCTCAGATTAATATATCATGACACTGAGAAGAAAATCTGATTGCATTAATTAGAATTCTGTAGATTCAACCAGTATGTCTGTTGGAAAATGGACGAACCAGAATTCTTGTAGGAATTATCAGATGAATCTGATTAATTTCTTCCTGTTAAATTTAAAAACCTAAAAATTAAAAAACCTAACCTAACCAAATTTTCTTTTTTAATACTAAACTCGCCAGCACCAAATCGTCTAAAATTTTTTCTATCTAATCTTAAAAGTCTGTTTAACATTTTGAATTCCAACACGATTATTACATAAATTCAATCAAGATTATTGAATAAATTATTTTAAGTTCAGTTTGTTAGTAATTAAACTGATAAACAGTGATGCAAGAAGAGGATGCAGCTTAAACACACATAATCAAAGAGCTAGCGTCCTCTTCCTGGCGCTACTGCTCATAAGAGAAAAAAAATATACTTTGGATTTAATGTTAATACTAGTTCTTTATACATTTCATGGCAAATATTGAATACGAGTTAAGAGTGGCTCGCCGCCTAGCAAAGAAATTAATGTAACAAGAAATTTTATAGATCCAACCAGAAAATACTAACCAAATCCTTATAGTAAAATCTATTAAACGTTTTAGTTATAAAAAAATCGAGTCTTATCATGATAACTAGAAATTCTTGTTTGATTTAACCAAAATGCCTTCAATCATATACGTCTTGTTGATACAATCAAATGATTTTTCTCAATATACAAACTATCATTTAGACCACAATCGATTCAATCCATGAGGATCATCAAACGGGTGAAAAAACAGGTGCTTTTGTAGATGATCTTTGTTTATGCATCTATTTATACATGTGAAATTTCGGTGATAGATAAATACATGTTATTATTTCATATTTGAATATCATTGAAATTCTACTGAATCGATTGAAAATTCTACCGAAAGGCGACATTTGCTAAATATATATTAAACGCCAGCACAAATGGGAAGTGAGACAAATTTTATAAAATTTTAAAACGTAAACTCCATGGAATTTTTTTTACATTTTTTTCCCTCGATATCGACACATACCTCTGACAATTGCGAAAGCTATGACAAAATTGAATGATATAGAGCAATTAATATATTTATTTTATATTAAGCTGGTGTATATATCTATTTTCTTTTTTCACGATGCAAAATATTTTGAAACAATAATTATATAATAATTGACGATAACGAAAGAAAGTTTGTCAAAAAAGTAAAAACACTTTGAATTTCTAATTTGCAGTAGAATTTTTAATGTAAATTCAAAGAAATCACTTTCTAAAGATATCTTTTTTCTCTTAAATAATAATCGAACGAAATAAAAAAAGATGGCTCAAAATTCTTCAGAGTTTTCCATTTTATACTAAAATTTAGTCGATGTGACGAATTACCTCGTGTATAAAAATAAAGCCGCTTCAAACTAAATTACATAATTTGAGCATATTATAATATTTGTAAAATAAAATAAAAATAAAAATACGAATAGCGTGAGGACTTTGTCTCCTTTTTGTGGATTGCATTAAAAAATTAGGCGAAAGCATCATGAGATTTTATATATGATTATTGTGGTTTATGATACCTTTTTTATTTTAAAATTAAAAAATTTATTTTTTTTCAAATTTGTGATTTTATTTTATTTCATTTTTTGTTTAATAAAAATCTCTTTACTTTTCTGTATTATACGATATATTATATAAAACACATATTTGTAGACAAAAAAAGAGAAGGAGGAGTGAAAGAGGGGAGTAGGGAAAGATGTATTTCTAGTCTATTTACCCACCCTTTTGTTTCCCCAGTTTTATCCTCCGTTCCGAGACATTTTCCGCTGTAAACTAAAGGACGGGAGCATCCGCATGGGGCGTCGACTTTTGTATGCTCTGTCTCTGTTTCATGTGAAACTATGGACAAAGCAAACGCATAAGCGACGACGAAACTCGGACAAAAAGGCCGAAAACTTTGCCCACCACGTACTACAACATCGATTTTTCCTGCCTCGCGCCTTCGTTCCTTTTACTCTCTTCTTCCTTCGTGCCTCTTGCAACGTGCCCGGTATAGTTTATGCACCCTTGCGTCTAGTACCGGACAATGATTCACGCCAACCTCTAAGAACTTTGAAGGAGAAACAGTCGCGCAGCACATGCTTGAACGATGCCCAACGTGGCACGGAAAAGACATACGACCGCGTTGCGGAAAAGTTTAACCGGATACGAACGAACGGCCATCTGACAAATTAGTTTGCTCGATCCTGCGGAACTTTCTTCATCCGTTTACATGTCGAGACATCGCGAGAGAAAACCCGAGTATCCTTTAAAACTTGTCTCACAGGTTGATTGTCCAAAGAATCTTTGAGTTTAAATTTCAGAATTGAGTCGAGCTGCGAATTCACAAGTTTTAATTGCTCTATGATTATTGTTTTATGAATGAAGTCGCAGTAGTAGAAGGACTTTCTAAGTGGGCATTAATTATAGTAATAAACTGCCGCAAGCTAATTATTATACAGGGTTTACCAAAAGTGTGGAAACCCCTTAATATTTCGAAAAATACGCATTTAAAAAAAAATGTTTCATACAAAAATTATATAGGCTTTTATGTGGCGCATTACACAGCAATATTATTATGACCTGTGGAATGGAATTGTTAATTGCAAATTACATATTTTTTCTTCGAAACAATTATGTGTTTTCTTTACATCAACTGATTCCTCTCATTATTTTGTACATAAAAGTATTAAGGTAGGATAATCGAAAAATGAATATTTTACTAGATATTTTACGGTTTATGTAAAATTAAGAAATGATTTCAAGCCTCATAACTTAAAAAGTACTTAATGAAAAAATATTTAATTATAGTGTTTTGAAAAACTCTCAAGTTAAACTGCAAGATAATATAATCAAAAATATAGGATTCCATTTAAAAAATTGAAGCTGACCTTCATATAACCTTGACAACGCTATTCGAGGTCATAATAATGTTACTGTGTAATGGGCCACATAAAACCCTATAACTTTTGTATGAAACATTTTTTTAAAAATGCGTATTTTTCGAAATATTAAGGGGTTTCCACACTTTTGGTAAACCCTGTATGTGCAAGAAAAGAGGTGTCAATTACAAAAGTTACAAAAAATTGACACGTATAGTTTGAAGTATTGTAATATTTTTTAATTATGAGATTCAGCAATTGATCGAATATTTGTAATATGTTTTCAAATGTTTATCCAATTGTATATAGCAGATTTTGTATTAAAGATTTTTTACACATTTTACAGATTTTTATTTTGTACATAAAAGTATTAAGGTAGGATAATCGAAAAAATGAATATTTTATTAGATATTTTACGGTTTTTGTAAAATTAAGAAATAATTTCAAGCCTCATAACTTAAAAAGTACTTAATGAAAAAATATTTAATTATAATGTTTTGAAAAACTCTCAAGTTAAACTGCAAGATAATGTAATAAAAAATATAGGATTCCATTTAAAAAATTGAAGCTGACCTTCACATAACCTTGACAACACTATTGGAGGTCATAATAATGTTACTGTGTAATGGGCCACATAAAACCCTATAACTTTTGTATGAAACATTTTTTTTAAAATGCGTATTTTTCGAAATATTAAGGGGTTTCCACACTTTTGGTAAACCCTGTATGTGCAAGAAAAGAGGTGTCAATTACAAAAGTTATAAAAAATTGAAACGTACAGTTTGAAATATTGTAATATTTTTTAGTTATGAGATTCAGCAATTGATCGAATATTTGTAATATGTTTCCAAATGTTTATCCAATTGTTTGTAGCAGATTTTGTATTAAAGATTTTTTTACACGGATACAGACATGTATTTATTATCGCGAATAAGACACGGATAATTCCAGTTTCGATTGATGATAAATTCAGAGTATTAATCCTTATACATCTTATAAATCATTGAAACTTTGATTTCAGGCCGAAGATTACGCAGGTTTGAAAGGTAGCTTTGACGAGCATGTGGGATTGTTGGTTCGCGGAGAGGATGCAGGTCAGAAGACAGTAATACACCCGGATCCACGTGGCTTACCGAGCCTACCGCCCAGCTTGGAGGCCCGTTTACCGCAGTTGGATCAGAATCTAAAGGTTACGCATGCAGAATGGTTGCCAGTCACCAATACTAGGTTTGTTTTTAATAATCACACGGCAATCGAATAATTAATGAAATTAGAGACACTTATATTTTCTTTCGTTTAAATTTCAACTTTTTGAAAAGTCTCTTATTACTTATTTTATTATTATAATAATAAATATTTTTATAATAATAAAATAATACATTATCAGAATAAAAATAGAGTTTCCAGAATTAATTTAAGGTTCCTAATATACCTTGAAACAAAATTAATCTTGTAAAACAAAATCAATTTTGTTTCAAGGTATATTAGGAACTTTAAATTAATTCTGAAAACTCTGTTTTATACGTTTTATAATTTTATTTTCTGATTTTAAAATATATTATTTTATTCTTTTAGAATAAAATTTTCTTTAGAATAAAATTTTTTAGAATAAAATTTTCTTCTTTTGCTAGTTTACACAAGCAATATATACAGTTTTATCTGGTTTTATCTTTTATTCTAGCTATTTTTATTATATGTGTATTGTGGACAAGGTAAAAATTAAATTATACATCGGAAAATTGAAGAGATGATAAAGCGTGTGTTTATTCGATTTTTTTAGATTTAAATTCTTCGTTTACTCGGCGTATTTCGACGACAGAGTTAGCGGTTCAGGCACGCCGGCGAGTAAAAGTCAAGGTGTAATACGCGTAATCAGCGCTACTAAAACCAGAAGCCCCGAGCGCGTTTGGTGTAGGCTCTGGTATAGGCAAAACGGCGGAAACATCACTGCCTCAGTAACGGTAGCTGCGAAAGTTAAGGTATATCTCTCCTATAAAGAGGGAACAATCATGATTCTGATCTTGTTTCAAACTAAAAAAAAAACACATTCTATAGTATCGATTATGATATATTAGTTTATTTCACACATTTACTCATATATATTTCAGTAATCGAAAAATTCGTCAAAAAATCTATTTAGTTCTACCTTTTTAAAATTATTATATTGTTATATTTCTTGTCCCACGTTTTTTGTCAGATCAAATCTCACGATGAAAAATTGATTACTGCAGATGTAGGACTAAAATTGCATTTGTCTCCTTGACTTTTTGGAAATCTCATTATTCTATTCTGTTTGTGTAACTTTTTTTTTATTTCTTTATACTTATGATTGAGAATTGTCTTCCTGATATTATATATATATATATATATATATATATATATATATATATATATATATACACAGGGTGGATAATAACTCTAACCAATAACTCTGGAATATCTCCGTTATTTTTAGAGATACAAAAATTTTTTACGTATAAAAGTTGTATGATACCAAGAGGATCGTAATATGCTACTAATAATTTTTTTGTAGATGGAGGCGCTTCAGAGATTTCAAGGTCATCTTTATTTTTTTAAATGGAACCCCCCATTTTTTATTACCTATTCTTATAGCTTATCTTCAGAGCTTTCCAAAACACTATAATAAAGTATTTCTTCATTGAGTACTTTTCGAGTTATGAGGCTTGAAATAATTTCTTAATTTTACATAAACCATAAAATATCTAGTAAAATATTCATTCTTTTAATATCTTACCTTAATACTTTTATATACAAAATAATGAGAGAAATCAATTGGTGTAAAGAAAAAATAGTTGTTTTTAAAAAAATAATATGTAATTTGCAATTCATTGCAATTTCATATTTTTTCTTAAAAACAACTGTATGTTTTCTTTACATCAATTGATTCCTCTCATTATTTTGTACATAAAAGCATTAAGATAAGATAATCGAAAAACGAATATTTTACTAGATATTTTATGGTTTATGTAAAATTAAGAAATAATTTCAATCCGCATAACTCAAAAAGTACTCAATGAAGAAATACTTTATTATAGTGTTTCGGAAAGCTCTCGAGATAAGCTATAAGAACAGGTAATAAAAAATGGAAAGTTCCATTTAAAAAAATGGAAATGACCTTGAAATCTTTGAAACCTCCATCTACAAAAAAATTATTAGTAGCATATTACAGCCCTCTTGGTACCGTACAACTTTTATACGTACAAAATTTTTGTATCTCTAAAAATAACGGAGATATTCCAGGTGAACGGAGTTATTGGTTCACCCTATATATATATATTTATTTATTTATTTTTATATTTATATTTATGTATATTTTCGGCCAATCATAGATTGTTACAATAAGTTTGGCTTTCACTATTGGGACAAGATATAATCTTCGATAATTCGAAAATATTTTATATCTAGTCTTTTTTTATATCATTCAAATTCTAATATATTATATGTGTCGTACGCTGTGATTTTCAGGTAATCCGTGAAAATTGGAATCTCAAATACAGTGCCTGCTTCGTGATATGTCCCTTGCCCAAAGAATCTCCGACGATGGATAAGGTGCCAGAAGCGGTTAGTGTTGTAGCGAGATTGCGAGCTGTCCCGACGAATCGTATTCTCATTCAGAATCGTCTCGAGAGCAGAATGAACGACAAAGATGCTTTGGCTGTCTGCGTTAAACCTTTACACTATTATTACAATAGAGTACGTATAAGTAATAGGATTAGTCGATATAATGTTTGTACTTGTACATACATACACACACAACAGAGAGATTATTCTTTTATTTTTTGTCGTCTTTATGTTTGTCATTATTTGTATTTACACTTATGTTTGTTATTACTTTTGCCTTTGCATGCTATTCTGTGTAAAAATGGAGGATTGCATTGTGTGCATATGTATGTTTGCAAATACATATTGCTTTTTATATATTATTGCTATACAGGGTGTTTCAGACTACTCGTACCACTCATTTAAAAACTAGAGAAGTGGTTATTTCAAAAAAGTAAAAACATTTTCTCTACAATTCTTTATAAATGCGTTCTACCGAATGGTGATATTTTCAACTTCTGGTTCTGGTCGGAAATAAGCGATTCAGATCGGAAGTGCATTTTTTTAAATAGAACCCTCCATTTTTTATTACCTATTCTTATAGCTTATCTTGAGAGTTTTCCAAAACACTATAATAAATTATTTTTCCATGAAATACTTTTCGAGTTATGAGGCTTGAAATCATTTCTTAATTTTACATAAATCATAAAATATCTTGTAAAATATTCATTTTTCGATTATCTTACCTTAATACTTTTATATACAAAATAATGAGAGGAATCAATTGGTGTAAAGAAAACACATAGTTGTTTCTAAGAAAAAATATGTAATTTGCAATTAACAATTCCAAAATATTTTTTCTCAGTATTAAGGTAAGATAATCGAAAAATGAATATTTTGCAAGATATTTTATGGTTTGTAAAATTAAGAAATGATTTCAAGCCTCATAACTCGAAAAGTACTTCATGGAAAAATAATTTATTATAGTGTTTTGGAAAGCTTTCGAGGTAAGCTACAAGAATATGCAGTGAAAAATAGGGGGTTCCATTTAAAAAAATGCACTTTTGATCTGAATCGCCTATTTCCGGCCGGAACCAAACGTTGAAAATATCATCATTCGATAGATCGCGCCCGATTTATAAAGAAAATGTTTTTACTTTTTTGAAATAACCACTTCTCTAGTTTTTAAATGGGTGGTACGAGTGGTCTGAAACACCCTGTATATGAATAGAATCATTAATCAATTCTTTTTATTAGGCTGTGAAATTGTGGCGGTTGTTTTAATAGAAAAATGAATGCACGAGAAATATTTTACATTTTAATTGATGTTTATGTTATGTTCAGGTTTTGCAATTGGTGGAGTTTATCGAATTGCACAGACTCTTGGGCGCTACTCATGTCACTCTATATAATGACACTGTAGGCCCGGCAGCTGGTTGTGCGCTGAAATATTATGAGAGCAAGGATCTGGTTACAGTATTACCGTGGCATCATCTTGACATGATTTCCCAACGAGAGATTCGTACGGAAGGCCTCTTTGCAGCGCTTAATGACTGTCTCTATCGATCTATGTACAAATATGAATATGTGGCCCTTGTAGATCTCGATGAGTATATCATACCGAGGCATAATGACACCATAATCGATTTGCTACGGTATGATGCTTTCTTTATTTCAATATCGATTTCTATAAACTATTTTTTGATACATTTCTTATAAATCAACAATGATCAACATGATTTCGAATAATTGCTTACTTTAAACGTACGTTTTACTCGATTTTACTTATTTTTAGAATTTTCTCAATCTTTATTAAAAACATTTATAGAGTGATTTATCAAGTTTTATTTTTTTAAGTAAATGATTTATAGAATCATTTTGAATAAAATAAAATTAAGTTAAATAAAACAAGATTAAATGTCAAATTTTCTAAGTACCAGATTTTGAAATTTGAGAAAGAAGAAACATTATATATAATCAGAAATTAAAAAATCTCATTTTATTGGTTTTTGGTTTATTATTATACCACGCATATATTGGTTACATTTATGTATCCCGTATATGTGAGACAAATACTTTTGTTTTACACAGTGTATTTCTAAGAATTTTAAATTGAGAACTTTAAATTAATTTTAAAGATAGTTGGAAAAAGATCTATGTTTATGTGAACGTTTATTTATGAGTCTAAAATTTATGATTCTATATTATTCGAAAAATATTTGGAAAAGTTCTGTATTTATATAAACTTTGATTTATAATAATTTCTAAGAAACATCTTGTGAACGTTAGTAAAATGTCATAAATTATTTCTATCTGTTATCTATATTATTTATTTATAATCGAAAAATATTGATTATCATTCCAAATAATTTAAATTTATAAACATATTATAATTTTCCCATATGGCACAGAAATATTGCAGCAACATTGTAGAAATATTTCTTTGCAAGATTGCAACATTGTAGAAATGTTGCAAAATGTTGCTGCAACGTTGCTGCAATATTGCAGCAACGATAAAATGTCCGCTTGTAGAAATATTGCAATGCAATATTGCAGCAATGTTACGGTGCAACGTATTTGTAATATTAAAACGCGTTGCTACAAATGCAGACACCGTTTTAAATTTAATAAATAAACTTTGAAAATATAAAAAAATGTTTCAGAAAGATAGGAAAAAATGCCTTTAAAAAAACATCTATTAATGTTTTTATTAGATGTTTCTTAAATATTTATCTCAATAATATTACATACAATTATTTTACATACATTCGACACCAGAATATTTTAATACGTGCAATAAATGAATTATTTCCTATTTACTCATTCAATTAAGAAAAATCTATTTAATATTCTGAAACCCAATGAAGAATCCAGATTATTAAACAAATTATTTGTTTAATAATCTAGATCCCTCATTAGGATTCAGAATATTAAGTAAATCAAGTCAGTTTATCGCCAGAAATTAAACTGACACAAGACAAGAAATACTTACTAGAAATAATTACTACATTAATCCTTTGTAGACCTTATATCCATCTTAGATGAATTCGAAGTTACGAGTTAGTTAAATTGGATGTCGCCGCGTAGCGGCAAGTAAAGAAACACATGTTATACATTTGGGTGTCGAATGTATGTAAAATAATTGTATGTATATTATTGAGATAAATATTTAATAAGATACATTTGATAAAAAACCCTAATAGATGTTTTTTTTTCAAAGGTGGTAAATGTTTTTTCCCTATCTTTCTTAAACATTTCATATTTTCAAAATTTATTTATTAAATTTAAAACGGTCTGCATTTGTAGTAAAACGCGTTTTAATATTGCAAATACGTTGCACCGTAACATTACTACAATCTTACATTGTAATATTTTTGAGGGCGGACATTTCAACGTTGCTATAAGCTTGCAGTAATGTTGCAGAAACATTTCGCAACTTCCATGCAATGTTACAATGTTTCCGTGATAGGTATATGCAATCTTTCGGTGCTGTATGGAAATAAAGTGTGCTACTAGGGATGCTATACATTTTTGCTATGTTAAAACGTTGCTGCAACATTGCCAAAGTAATATTACAAAATAATGTCTCTGCATTATTGCTGCAACATTACACTGCAGTGAGCAATATTGTAACATTGTAGCAACGTTGCAGCAAGCTTCTGTGCTGTATTGAATTTGTAAACGTACATTAATTTTGTGAAATTGATTTCTAGGTGGATGGGAAATCGAATCAATGTCAAGTCCACAGGTGCATTTTCCTTTCAAAACGCCTTCTTTTATCTGCAATGGGCCGATGACCCATTTGTAGTAACTAGCCGCACACCCACCGAAGCTGGTTTAATCACTCTGAAGAAAACGCGACGCAGGACCAAGTTGCATCCGCACAAGCAACGTTCTAAGTACATTTGCAAGCCGCAAGACGTAGTCGAGGCGGGTAATCATTTTGTATGGGAGTTTATCCCAGGTCATGGAACTCTGAACGTGCCATCCGATGCTGCTATATTGCATCATTATCGTGTTTGCGAGTTCGGCGGTGACGATTGCATCAAAACGCAGTCGACGATTGATAGAACGGCCTATAAGTACAGAGATCGACTCGCTGCGAATGTTGACAAGACATGGATGGAGCTGCGTGCCGAATGCTCGCTCCCGGAACTCGATCCGGTCCCAGTATTGACGCCTCGAATTAAACTCAGCCCACTTGGTAAATCGATCAGGTAGCGAAAGACTATCGTCGAAATCCTATGGGATATTGGCAATTTCACCGGTACACCAAAAGTTGCGAGGACCTATTTCTATAACTATGGCGGTCCTTAGTTTTCTTAAAGAAAAAAAGCTAAGCGGACTCCTGCCCTTTTTTTACAAAATTGTCGATGGACTGTTTTTAAATTTGTGAAATGGAGGAATACGGGAGATTTATCGAAATTATTGCGAAACAAAAGAAAAAGAACGAAAAGAAAAGAAACGCTTTAATCGAGACATGGATTAATCATATTTTTCTACATGACGGATTCTTAAATGGCCGGCGAAATCTAGAGACAAGTTACCGTAAGTCAATCGAGTTCCCATACGGCACAGAAATATTACAGCAACATTGCAGAAATATTTCTTTGCAAGATTGCAACATTGCAGAAATGTTGCAAAATATTGCTGCAACGTTGCTGCAATATTGTAGCAACGGTAAAATGTCCGCTTGTAGAAATATTGCAATGCAATATTGCAGCAATGTTACGGTGCAACGTATTTGTAATATTAAAACGCGTTTTGTTACAAATGCAGACACCGTTTTAAATTTAATAAATAAACTTTGAAAATATAAAAAAATGTTTCAGAAAGATAGGAAAAAATGCCTTTAAAAAAACATCTATTAGTGTTTTTATTAGATGTTTCTTAAATATTTATCTCAATAATATTACATATAATTATTTTACATACATTCGACATCAGAATATTTTAATATGTGCAATAAATTAATTATTTTCTATTATTTTCTATTTTCAATTAAGAAAAATCTGTTTAATATTCTGAAATCCAATAAAGGATCCAGATTATTAAACAAATTATTTGTTTAATAATCTAGATCCCTCATTAGGATTAAGTAAATCAAGTCAGTTTATCGCCAGAAATTAAACTGACACAAGAAATATAATTACTACATTAATCCTTTGTGACCTTATATCCATCTTAAATGAATTCGAATACGAGTTAGTTAAATTGGGTGTCACCGCGTAGCGGCAAGTAAAGAAACACATGTTATACATTTTCGCTATGTTAAAACGTTGCTACAACATTGCCAAAGTAATATTACAAAATAATGTCTCTGCATTAGTGCAGCAACATTACACTGCAGTGAGTAATATTGTAACATTGCAGCAACGTTGCAGCAAGCTTCTATGCTATATGGGGTTATCTCGATGCTATATGGTGGTACTTTTCTCTTACAGTTTTATACAAACTCTTGTATCTCTGTATCTCTCTAATTCTTTTATTCAATTAGCAAATGTGATCATTTGCGACAAATTATTATTGTTAAGGAAGATTGTTACAGAGGGCCTAAATCACGGGCTAAAAAAAGCACCTGGTGATAAATGACGAGCAAGATTTAGATATTAATCTTATTGTACCGTTGTTTCGAGTAAAATTTTTTTCAATACTTGTAAATCCGCACAATGTATCTTATACGCATATCCATAGAATCAATAATCAGCATAATAATATATGTATAATATGTATTTAGACGAGTGTTAGACATTCGATCTGCGGAGACAGCCTAGGAGATGTGCAATGTTTTCGAAAAAAATATTTCTGATACAAAATCCGTCGGAGATTTGTTAGAAATGTTGAAAGGATGTGAATTTATTTAAACAATAAGATATACTATAGTCATACGTATAACATGTTTTTTTTAATCTCAATAGATCTGAATTTATTTGTTTTATTGATGCACTATGTATTTTCTTTTACATTAGTACATGATTATATTTTGTAATATGATAAATTGTCATATAATTCAATAAGAATCAAGTTGGATTAATTTGCAGGATTATAAGTTCTTATTGAGTAAAAAATATATTGAAATAATAAATCATTGAAATTTTAATTTTTAACAAAAATATTTTTTACATAGAAAAAATCTATAAAAATAAATCTTTTTTTATAATTTTTTTTTAAGATGAATTTGCTGCACAAGCGATTGTACAGTTATCTGATTTATTATTTTAATTATTATTTAAATGACAAATGAACAGCGAAATATTTTCGTTGTACACATACAACATAGGCCGATGATGAAGTCGCACAAGTGAATTTGGTAGAAAGATAAAATGTTTCAAATAGGTACAACTTACCAGGTAATAAAAGAAATATTATTGGCAACGGAATCGGGATAGCAAAATATTGTTGCCGAATGCCGCTGTGGCCGATGTCTAGCAAAATCTTTCTATATCCTTTGTTAAGATATATATAAGATCGTGTTTCTTACGCGTTTCTTACACAAGTTTATGTATATATGTGTATACACGCATGTGCATACATGGACACACGTACATGGGCATATATGATAGACCTAAGTTACATGTGATCGGTGCTGAGCTATAATTGATAATGCGTCGACATCGATAATTATGTTGACGAAAATAAATATGATATTAGGATAAAAAAATATATACTTCGATTTTCTTGAATCTTTTCTCATCATATTATTTAAAGACTACAAATTGCATTAATTATGTAATAAAACATATAATTTATGTAAATTTTGTTAATATATTACATAAATGTTAAACATTTGTTTGTAAAAGTATATATATATATATATACACACACATGTACAAGGAAAGTTTCAAAAGTAAGGTACAGAGTTTAATATACAAGAGAGTTTAAAACTGGTAACATTCTAATTGCCTAAATCTATTTGCAGATTATATGGAGAAATAAATAAAAACTCATTTTGTGTACGATTTTATTTATTTTAAATAAAAAGAAATAAATTACAATATTACTTTTTTCTTTTTTTAAATGTATCTTACTTTCGAAAGCACCATATATATATATATATATATATATATATATATATATATATATATATATGTGTATACATATGAAATTATAAATTATATTTTTATTTTTATATTGTTGTGTTTTATGTATCTCATTATAAATATATATTTTTTTCTTGTATATACAATTTTTTTATTTAGTATTATAAAAAACATACCGGGCGATTAGCAGAAAGACTGCATTATACAGATTAAAAATCGTCGTCCGAATGTCTGTCTATCTTGCTGACAGATCGCTTTTCTTGGGCAGTTTTAAGGTCATATCCGCCAATATCTGGTGCGCCTACAGAATTCAAAAGATCGTCATCATCATCATCGTCATCATCAAGATCACCGTCGATTAATAAGTCGCTATCGCTATCCAACGAGCCATCACTGTCGTTCGATTCTTGGATCGTTCCCCTTTGCCGTCCAGACATGCTACCGTAAATGCGTCGCTGTGTATATTGCATTTTCGATGCTTTTCCAGTGCCTGAAATAATTTTTTATTTGAAAAAAAAAAAAAACTCAAAAAGGATTCATTTCTGGGAAAGGATTATTTTTTTTTTATTTCTTTTATGCTTCCAAGTATTTTACTAATTTGTAATTTTTGTCTCTTAAATTTGCAATATTTTATATAGTGCTAGAATACTCATTTTATTGGAAAAATTATTACTTGGTTTGACATGGGCTGATTGAGCAGATTTTTCGGTTGTTGTAGTCTCTGGATTTGTTAGAGAGGTGACTAATGGTTCTTGAAGATTTGTAGCGAATAAAGAATCGTTCCCTTCCATCATGCTTTCAAAGTTCGAATCTTCGGCTCTCATTTGTTCCAATTGCTTCTTGGTCGCAGCTTGTCTGTGATCAGAAATAACAATAATAAATTGTACACAATTATACAGGGTGTCCTATTTTAATGTCCCACCCCAAATAACTTCCTTATTTTTAATTTTAGAAAATGATGTTTCAGACAAAAGTTGTATGGTTTCTAGGGGGACATAAAATGGTGCCATTAGTTTGATCTTGAAGAGTCACATGAAGCTTACGTGAAGGTCATTTTGAATTTCTTAAATGGAACATCCTATATATTTTTACATATTTTTGTAGCTTACCTCGAGAGCTTTCCAAAACACTATAATAAATTATTTTTCCATGAAGTACTTTTCGAGTTATGAGGCTTGAAATCATTTCTTAATTTTACATAAACCATAAAATATCTTGTAAAATATTCATTTTTCGATTATTTTACCGTAATACTTTTATGTACAAAATAATGAGAGAAATCAATTGGTGTAAAGAAAACATACAATTGTTTTTAAGAAAAAATATGGAATTGTTAATTGCAAATTACATATTTTTTCTTAGAAACAACTATGTGTTTTCTTTACATCAATTGATTGCTCTCATTATTTTGTACATAAAAGTATTAAGATAAGATAATCGAAAAATGAATATTTTACAAGATATTTTATGGTTTAAATGTAAAATTAAGAAATGATTTCAAGCCTCATAACTCGAAAAGTACTTCATGGAAAAATAATTTATTATAGTGTTTTGGAAAGCTCTCGAGATAAGCTACAAGAATATGCAAAAATATATAGGGTGTTCCATTTAAGAAATTCAAAATAACGTAACCTTCATGTGTGTCTTCAAGGTCAAACTAATGGCACCATCTTATGTCCCCCTAGAAACCATACAACTTTTGTCTGAAACATCTTTTTCTAAAATTAAAAATAAGAAAGTTATTTGGGGTGGGACATTAAAATGGGACACCCTATATAATTTATCTTATGTATAATTTAGTTGTATTTTTTTTCTATTTCTATTTATAATGAGAATTACCGTCTTTCGAATCTTTCTTGCTCTGCTTTGGCTGCATCTTCATACAAATGCTCCAAATATGCCAGATATCTAAACTTCTCCAAATAATCATTGTATAAAGATCTCAATTCAATTTCAAGCTTCTCGAATTCTTCCATGAACGCTGGACGGACTTTCTTCAATGTATGGAGTCTCTTTTGATTCCTATCGAGTTCCGTTTTTCGTCTCTCGATTCTCGCATCCAAGTTTTGTTCTGTATCCTTTAATGTTACATATACGTTTAAAAAAATAAATTTTATTTATCAACTAATAAACTAATAAAATTTCTGTTGACAAGAAAAGAATAATTAAATATTTGTAGCCTTAATAGGCAACTTAAGCTTCATAAGTGTAATTTTAAAATAAAATTTTTTACCTTAACATTATCAATTTGCTTCTTGGTTTCTTCAATTTCTTTAGACGTATTCTCGATAACATCTTTCAAAGCCGCTTCTATTTCCGAGGTATCAAATTGCCTGGCAATCTTGGTATTGCGAATCTCTCGAAGCTCCATTTCTCGACCAAGTAAATCGAAGAGAGTCGCTCCGTTGATAGTCAATTGACTGGCGAGTTGCCGTGTCGTTTTCAGTTCACTGATTTTATCGGATATGTCAAAATTCACTGTACTCTGGTTATTGCCAGATCGATTTTCCTTGATGCTACTACTGTTTTGCGCATCGTATAACATTGTTGTAATTTTCAATATTTCCTTTACCCCGTAACCATCGGCTTGATACAGCTTCTTTGTATTTAATTTGATATTTGTCTTTAATGCCTGTATCACACAAGATGACCATTCAACAGAGTCAGGGTTGAAAATAAAAATGCTATTTTTTAAAATAAATAAATAATAATTTTTATGCCATTCAAAAATTCCTTCTCTTTATTTTATTTATATTTGCTCAATAACTTTTTCTTTTTATTCAATAATATATTTTTTTCTCTTTATGCAATATTTTTTAGAATAAATAAATAATAATTTTTATCTGTTTCAAAAAAATTCCTTCTTTTAAGTTTATAGTTTATTTTATATATAAATATGTATATTATTTTACAAATAATTTGATTTATATAAATTAAATCGATTTAAAAATCAAGTATAAGAAGTTTTCTGCTCTGTTTAATTGAGATTGTTTGTAAAATAAATAAAAGACACAAGTATTTCCAAAGAATCATTGCTGTAATTTTGAAATCACATATTTTATAGAAATCTGATTTAAATATTACTATATTTATATCATACAACCACTTTTGAATTAATATTATTTCTTTTTTAAATATTACCATAAACTCAGCAACGTTACGTATCAATGCCACACGTTGTTCCTCGGTATCATGTTCGTTAGGTATATCAATATCCGGATCGAATTGTTTCACCAGCCAAACCAGGATCTCCGCAACCAAAGGAAAATTTGGTACGCGAAAATTGGCGATGGAAATCAGTCTCGGATAGCCCAACACTCTCATCATCTCTGTGAAATCTGCACAAGTGAATGAAAGAGATATAAATCGGTTGTTATAATTTCCTGCGTAAATTTCATAATATAATTTTCATATACAGGATGTCCCAAAACTCATAATCAATCTTTCAAAGACAGATTTCTGGGATCATTTGGAGACGATTTTTCCTCAGTGAAAATGTCGATGAAGGCCATCATTTTTTGCATGTTTCTGATTTTTGTCATCATATATCTTTGCAATTAAGCCTTAAATTTAAACTCAACTAAAGTAAACTCTATTTAAAATTAATCGAAGAATGTGGGTTTGTTAATATTTTATTTCTACAAAGCTTAGTTTACGAAAAACCTCTTATTTCCAATCACTTATAATTCGAAAATTATTAGTGCCACGACATTTTCGTTGAGGAAAAATCGTCTTCAGATGATCCCAGGAATCTGTCTTTGAAAGATTGATTATGAGTTTTGGGACACCTTGTATATATATATATATAGAAATAATAAATTTGTCGTATAATAATAAATTATATTTTTATAATAAATTACGTACTACGTAAATCACGGTAGGACATTTTCACAAGCAAAACTCAGTCACAATATGCAGATTTCGCAGTGCATTCTTATGTTTTCTTATTTGTGGCGAATGTTGCCATAGAAACCAACTTGTACAGTAGGCGCCAATAATGCCTTAACATGTGAAATTGGTCGCATTCGAGACTAATAATAACTTAATATCTAGTCATTATTAATCCCGAATGCGAGCAATTTCATATGTTAAGGCATTATTAAAAATAATATATATAAATATATATAAAAATAAATAAAAATAAATATATATAAAAATAATACATACAAATATAAATATATAATATAATATAAAATATATAGTATAAAATATAAATATATACAAAAAATAATAAAAATAAATATATATAAAAATAATATAAATTCCTTTTTTATTAGATATTTTTGATTACTTTATTAAATCAGTTAATGAAAAAAAAATGACAAAACCCCAAATCGCAATTTTTTCGCGTGTAAGAATATTGTTTAATAGATTACAAATATTGCTATTTTTTTAACAAAAATTGAATTAAACAATTGTGCATTCAATTTTGAAACTGATATAACATACAAACTGAATATTTAAGAATCTTATGTGAATTTTACAGATCATTTAAATTTATAATTTCATGATATATATATATATATATATATATATATATATATATATATATATATATACATTTAGAAATTCCTTTTCTTCACTTATATAATTTATTCCTCTATTCCTCTATAACTGTACAATATTTGATAAGTAGATTAATAAATTGATATATAATAAATTGATTTATATAAATAAATTAATCGTTTTAAAAGTCAGGCACAGGAGCTTTTCTATTCTGTTTAATTTGCGAATGAATTCTCTTCTCATGAAGTCTCTGCCTAGCAGCTTTCAATTGATTTTTTCTTATTCTCTCTATTGATTCAAGCGATGGCTTTGGTCGCTCTACTAAAGTAGCCCTTATCATTGTTCTTAACTTTTCAAGAGCATCTGCCAAGTTTAAATGTTGAGATCTCGTTAAGTCTGATTTAATTATTAAATACCCATCTTTGTTTATCTTGTTTTTTTCCTGGAACAATAAATTTATATCCTAAGAAACTGCTATTCCCATCTAATTTTGACAGAGCATGAATATGAATAATGAAGGTTACGCATACGCAATACAAATAGTGCTACCTGCTCTGCTAATTTTGTTCGAATTTCCTCCGACAACCAAGTAGCATTATTCACTTGGAATCTTAAATCTACTTTGGTATTCACACAGTTTACATTTTGTCCCCCCGGACCACTGCTACCACTGTATGTTATTTGTACCTTGTCTATGGGTATGTAACCACTGAATTTTGCTTTAGGATCTGGTACCTGAAAGGCAAAATCGCTCAATTGTTACATTCAATTTATATTTCAATTTATATTTAAATTTGAAAATCGCAATCAATCAAATATACCCAATAAAATCAATTTCTATTGTATCTATTACACAATTATTTTGAAAATAAATTATGAAAAATAATATGAAGTAATATAATAATAATATAATAATAATAATAATAAATAAAATAAATAAATAATAATAAATAAAAATAATATAATAATATAAATTATGAAAATAATATGTACTAACAAAGCTTGGTGTATACAATTTCTGTTTGCTTTCCGGGTACAATTTTTCTAGCGATACCTCACTTTTAAAGTTGAAAGCCCTGCCGAAATTGCACAATGCATTCTGATTTCTAACGTTGCTCTGTAAAATTCTGAAATATTGTCTAGTAAGAAAATTCATTTCTTATTAATTTTTATTGTGCACTTTGATGGTGAAACTTGGAAAGGTGCAATTCTATGATTACAAAAACATAACCTGACATAACCACATTCTCTCCGCGTCGCTGTAGGTTACAATCGCAAGAAGTTCGTCACAATTCGATAATCGATTGTATTCAATATCTCGCAATGTGTGTTTCAATATCTCGCAATGTATATTATGGTATGAATATGGAATCTTCTCTTCCATGCGTAAGAAGATTTTAATATGTAATAATAACATAATATGCAATACATATATATATATATATAATATATATTATATATACAGAGTGTATATATAATATATATATCCCAAAAGTCCCGGACCGGTCGAATATTTCATAAACTATGCACTTTAGAAAGAAACTTTTGTTTCAAACAAAAGTTGTATGGCTTGAAGGGAGCTATGATAGTCAATTGCTGTAAAGAAAACACATAGTTGTTTAAAAAAAAAATATGTAATTGTTAATTGCAAATTACATATTTTTTTCTTAAAAACAACTATGTTTTTTCCTTAAACCAATTGATTCCTCTCATTATTTTGTACATAAAAGTATTAAGGTAAGATAATCGAAAAATGAATATTTTACTAGATATTTTATGATTTATGCAAAATTAAGAAATGATTTCAAGCCTCATAACTCGAAAAGTACTCAATGAAGAAATACTTTATTATAGTATTTTGGAAAGCTCTCGAGATAAGCTACACGAATATGTAATAAAAAATAGGAGGTTTCGTTTAAGAAATTGACGGTGACTTTCAAATGACTCTCCCATGTCAAATCATTGCCACTATCTGATGGCTCTGTTCAAGCCATATAACTTTTGTTTGAAACATTTCTTTCTAAAGTGCATAGTTTATGAAATATTCGACCGGTCCGGGACTTTTGGGACACTCTGTATATTATATATATACACAGTTGAGAAAGTTATTTTATAAAAGTATTTAGTTACAGTTACAGTTACAGTTTCTTTTACTAAGAAATGTAACTATAGTTACAGTTACAATTACTCAAAAAGTAATAAGTCGTTACTTTGTTACTTTCTTGCAATGGAAATAAAAATATTAAATCTGCACGCAGTAATAAAAATTTAATGACAATCCTGTAAGGTATTAATTCCTGCAAATTATAGGGAATTTTAGAATGGCATTCACTTTAAAGAAAGAAATATACATTTTATTTTAATTTAAAAACAGCTGAATAAATACAAAAATTTTTATTTAATGTAAAAGAAAATTTATGAAAAAATATAATTTTATTACATCGCTCTTACAATTTCATTATTTTAAAATAGTATGTGTATATATAATTAAATCTTTACTTTTTTTACTATATTTTTTATTATGTATTTGTACATATATACATCGCGAATAATCCAAATTACAAATATTTATTAGTATATTTTTTTTAGTTAGTTTTTTAATATTTATAGGCTACATGAAATATTACATATCATGATAATTAATATATATATAACACATATCATGAAAGAAATATTAAATGATATGTACTAAGAATAGCATACTAAGAAATGTTAAATGATTCAAGCATACTAAGAAATGTTAAATGATTCAATATGTTTAACATTTTTATTAATAACAAATGAAATCATACACATTGGATTATAAAGAATCGATAAAGACGTTTATGCGCAAGTGCAAGGCGGTCCAATACGATTTGCAAAGATTTAAAAAAAAAAAATATATATATATATATATAAAGTAACTATTAAAGTAATTATTAAATTAATTACTAATTATCGAAAATATGTAACTGAGTTAAGTTACAGTTTTACAAACTGAAAGAAGAACGAGTTAAGTTAGGGTTGCCAATTTTTGATAAATATTTTAATAATTTATTATTTAACTTGAACTTCATTACTTGTCATTAGTGAAAATGCGGTTAATGACACATGTCACTAATGACACATGTCATTAATATCGTAAAGCATCACCAATATAATCTTTTGTCGAGAGTAGGAAACGTACGTTTTCTATGTGTTGTGTACATGTGCGTTGATGATAATAAAGATATTTAATTAAAAATTAAAAATAATTAAAAATTTTCAGATTTTGATTTTGCGTTATGATATTTCCGTTTATAGATCATGTAGCACAAAAATAAAGATACTTCCTTCATATAATTCAAACTCGCTCTATCGATTAAGCCTAGCAAGAATTCAATCCGTTCAGCCCTTATTGAAATCTGATAATTTGAGTTACTCTCAACTGTCCGACTCGCGTATATATAGATACACGGAGAGCCTAATGTTTTGCATGAACTTGACGCGAGATACTACCGTGTCTCTTGATACATATATTTAATATACCGGGTGGCCCCGAACGTTCCAGCCAGACTTTGAGATCTTATAGGAAATTTAATTCTGAACAAAAAATTCCTATAAACATGGGTCGAAAAATGCTTCCTTAAGAAGTTATCGCTAAAACCTCTGATGAAGGAAGAGCAAAAGAAAATGAAAAGAAAATGAAATAAAAAGAAAATGAAACTAAATAAATTTCTTGAAAAACGTCTTTATTCATTTTCTATTTACGTGCTATTACTAAAATATTAGTTAAAAAAAAAAATTATTTTTTTTTCGTAAAAAAAAAAGATTTTTATTTTTTATTTTTATCGTTTTTTTCAAGAAATTTATTTAGTTTCATTTTCTTTTTATTTCATTTTCTTTTCACCTTTTGCTCTTCCTTCATCAGAGGTTTTTGAGCGATAACTTCTTAAGAAAGCATTTTTCGACCGATGTTTATAGGAAATTTTTTGTTCAGAATTAAATTTCCTATAAAATCTCAAAGTCTGGCTGGAACGTTCGGAGCCACCCTGTATATATATATATATATATATATATATATATATATATATATACACATATAATTTTAATATATAATTTTAATATATAATTTTAATATATAATTTTAATACGTAATTTTAATATATAATTGAAAAAAAATCCGAAAAAATTTGCGGCAAAAATTTTCAATTAATTTCGAAGCTTCTTTGAAGTATTTTTTCAAAATTGAGAGAGCGTGAAAAAGATTATTCGCTTTTTTACTTTATATCTCGCGAAATAGATCTCGTCTTAATAATCAAACAATCGTTCATTGTCTCGCGGTCGCGTAAATGCCTTTTTAACCACCTTGTTGTAAATGCACTTTAAGTCTTGGCGCAATAGGTTTTGTAAGTGGATTGCGGCATAAAGCGCATTCTGAAAATCATGGTAATAATCGACGCGCGAGCGATCCGCTGCAAGGACACGGAACTCCACGACACAGCCGTTTTTCCCGGTGAAATACTGTGACAAGGTTACGTCTCGCTTCGCGGGTTAATGCTCCGACATGGTGAAAATCACCGACGATCACTAGCCGTCGTTTCTATCGAGCAAAAATGACGGATAGTCCTGGCGATATTGTGCATCAGACACGAACAAATGTCAATTACTTGACTCGCAATGCCATCGATAATAAGTGGAAAAAGAGACAGGTTAAAGAGCATTTCATATTAATTCTAATGATAAGTTCTTTTTCTTTTCTTTTTTGCACAATTAAATTATAGTAGAATTTAAACGGATTGTATCTTTTCTAGTAATGATGTATAAAATCCGGTTGCATCTATGTATATAGTGTAACGATATGCGTTTATATTAATTATATATTGTATTAGAGTAAAATGAT